CCGCCCCTTGAATGGCTTGGTGCGGCAGGTCCTTGTGTAAATGTAAAAGCATCGGCAGGAGAAAAGTACTGAGGCACAGTCGACGCGCCTTCCGCTAGTTTCGCCGGAAAGAGAGAACTCGATCCGACTCCCTTCACCCCGCGGAAAGGTGAGAACCCTACCGCTTACCGCTTGCCAAGGTTGTATAACTGCAGACAGAGGCCCGGGAATTGGGACCCGGTAGAACACAGCGGCGCGCGGCTCCGGGAATAGCTATGGCTCAATAAGAGGACAGTCCCTTACGCTTCGCAGAAGGGGGCCGTTGCGAGCCTCTAGCGTTGGTACCCAGAGCCTTGTTAGCAATGCTACACAGCCTGCTGTGATCCATAGCGGCTACAACAACAACAACAACAACAACGACAACGACAACGACAACGACAACAACAACAACAACAACAACAACAACAACAACAACAACAACAACAACAACAACAACAACAACAACAACAACAACAACAACAACAACAACAACAACAACAACAACAACAACAACAACAACAACAACAGTAACGGCAACCGCAACCACAACCACAACAAACACGACGGCAACGACAACGACGACAACAACAACAACTACTACTACTACTACTACTACTACGACGACTACTACTGCGACTACTGCCACCGAAACGACTTCTGCTGCCAATGGCAACATTGTGGATAACTAAGAACAACAACCATGCCATAGTGCATGCATCATGACTGAAAAAGAGCACTTACGGGTACGGCCAGAGATTAGAGCGACAAGGAGTGTAGTTCACGAGCCAAAATTTCCAAGATTCTTGGGAAACGTATCGTTCCAGACCACAACCGCCCCGCGCAACATCCCGAACGGAGCCCGCTGCTCAGCCACACGCGCGAAGAGGCCTTGATCTCTGTGAGCCGCTTTGCTTCACATTCAGTGTTGATCTTCCGGACTTACTGTACGTCTTTCTTTGTCTTGCACTAGAACTGTGAAGGTGGTGGGCGCGGGCTCAGTTTTCCGAGCTTGTCCTCAGGTCTCCGACACGAGCAGTAGGCCTTGAAGCCTTGTACAACGAGTGTGCAGGCTGTAGGCTTAACTACACTCCCCTAACCCTGTCAGAGCCATATAGCACTCACATAGACAACTGAAAGATCCCATAAGGAAGGCCTCATACAGTCTGAAGCTTCTGATCCCTATAGACTCCCAAACACCGCGAGTCATCCTGAACTGTGTAACCTTACAGCAATCTTGCCTTACGGGTTCAGGATTTGAGGAAGGGGGCTCAGGTGCATGAGTGCGTGGGCATGGGGGGGTTGTGAGCATGATGAACTTTCTCTTGGCTGCTTTGCTCCCCACCCGACTCCACCCGCCCCTGAATCAGCTGTGCCATGGAACTGGGAGGATGCCTGCATTCCACCGGTCGACAGACGAAGGTCTCCTTTGATCTTGGAGCTGTATATGATTGTGAATATTTCTGGATGATCCGATTGAAGGGTCCAGATGTCAGGGCTTGGGACTGGGGTGTTGGTTTGTAGGATTCAGCATTGGATGGCGTCTGATGTCTAGCTTTTAGTAGGATCTATCTTCGGGTCATGCTGCTTTCGGGGCTTGTGGCATCTGTGCTTCAGGGTGCTTCAGGGTGTAGGGCCATGTGGCTTTGTAAGCCCCAATGAAGAGGCCTGCAGGGATTTCTCTCGAGCTTCCATTCGTTCGCATAGTTTCTACCATGGCATCGATTCAGTGACTACAAAACTTTTTCTTGGTTCGGGAATGTTACGAACACCAGGAGGCAGGGCAGGTCCGAGTCGCCGGAAAGAGGCTGCCGAATTGGCAAACCAGCGTGCTGAAGCCACGCGCAACCGGCAGTGTTCCATTGTTGCAGCTCGGAGTGCAAAGTCCGCCGTCGGCAATCACACTACCTGAGCATGTGCAGATTTGTGTTTGTGTGTGCGTCCAGCATAGTAGAAAGGCACCAGCTTATTCACAAAATCCAGCAGCCTTCTCTGCAGCTTGGTTCATTCGCCTGGGAAACATTTGGTGCCGCACATTGGGCAGAACCTTAGCTGCGTCTATGAACTCCAGGCTTGCCCATCTAGTACCACAGAAAGTCTGTAAGAACCCTTCTAAATCCGTTCACTTGAAGATGGAGCTGCGAGACTCTACATTTGTCAGACTGGACTGCACGATCCGGCTTGAAGCTCGGAAGCCATCCTCTAAACCAGTTGTACCATTCAATATGTATACATACATGACATAGGAGCATGTGTACATAAGCCTCTCTATATATATATATATACATACATATGTATAGTTAGTGTATCCGTGTGTGCGCGCGTGTGTGTGCCTCTGTGTGTGCGTGTGTGGATGTATGCGTATCGGCGTGGAGGCGTGAGGCCTGCTCCTCTCGACCAAGCACGCCTTTTCTGATCACAGAGTCAAGATAAGTAATGCATCCGCATCCATGTATACAATGTATGTATGCATGTATGTATGTGTATGTATGTATGCGTGAATTTGTGGGCATGTATGTATATCCGTAAGCACGTACACCTACGGCGTACCCTGTGTCCGAATTTTCGGAATACAGATGCATGTAGCGTATGCAAGTACATTTATGTATCATGTGCATGCCCGCGGATATGCGCGATTGTATATCGGCATGCATGTATCTATGTACATATACATATACACATATACAGATTTATACACATGTACATTGTTCTACGTATGTACACACATATATATATACACACACATAACATAGACATACACATACAGATACACACATACATACACACATACATACATACATATATATATATATATATGTATATATATATGTATACATGAGGGCTGCGTGTAGATATAAATTTGCAAATGTGTACACACACATATACACATGAAAAGTTAAAATGAATATTACTTGAGTGTGTATATGTATACGTATGTATGTATATATCCATAAACTCGTATACAAGGCGCTGCAACGAAGATGAATTTAAGGAAGCAACCGTCGGCCAAACCTAGTGCAAGCAGGAAACTGACCCCAGCAAAGATACTCCAAAGGAGCCATTTCTGCAGGATGCTGGCCATTCGGCGGAGGTGGGATCCCTTCTTTCGTCGCAATGTCGTATCATGCTGCACTAGATTCCGGTGTCTTTGGTCCAGTACCCATGACTGCACTGAAATGCCGTCTGAATCCGCGGGTATACTAGTGAAGATGTGAGCAAAATCCTACTCTTCCAGTACTGAATTGCAAAGCACTAATAATCATCCGCTTCATGACACCCGAGCACCAGCAGCAGTAGTATTTGTGGTATCGGTCGTAGTAGTTGTAGTAGTAGTTGTTCTTGCTGTTGTAGAGTTGCAGATGATGCTGTTGTAAGAGCAGTTGGTATCGCAGGCAGTATCAGTAGTAGTAGTAGTAGTAGTAGTAGTAGTAGTAGTAGTAGTAGTAGTAGTAGGACATCGACGAGCTCGCCAACGCAACCCACCGTACGAACTCTGAGCTTGCACGCTGATTGCAGATTTTCACAGAAGTTGTTCGGGCAAGTGGGTATGTGCTACGTAGATTCCAGCCTACACGCGCCATCACATGTATTGGAGGGATGAACACCCGCTCCGGAGCAAGGGCGAATGAGGAGAACAAGGGCCTAAATTGGCAGCACCAAACTTCGCGTGCGATACAACATTCAGCAGCAGCTCGCTGCAATGGCAAGAAAGAAGACCGCGACTGAAACATTGATAGTCTCGATAAACAACAGAAGTGCATTGCTTAGGCCCGTGCCTTAAATTCATTTAAACACATGAGCTCCGCGATGATTGGTCCCGGGCTCGCGCATCTTGCGCTGGAGGAAGCAGCTGTGGGAAAAGAAAACACTTTCATCATTGAGGTTTGATTGCCAATATAGATGGATGGAGGCGCTACCAATCATGGTACCTGTACAACTCTACGCTCCCTGACCCACACCTTTGTGACCTTAATGGATCGAGGGTTGAGATCTTGGCTTCAGGCTTTCAATGTAAGCTCTGTGCTTATGAGTGCAGCTTATCTGTCAATCAAGGACACAGAGGCCTCTCGAACATTTACACCTACACATCCTACGTGCCTACATACAATTCTGCACAGACAACTAAGAATAGATACGTAAATACATGCACATATGCATACATGGATATGAACAGAGCTCCTATATACCAGTCGATTGACTACTACAACTGATGACAAATACTTTCGACACATCATCCATACAGCCCCATACAGCCGTCGCCACTTTGCGATTGCTGGAATTCTTACATGTTTGCTTGAACTCACTGCTTTCGATTGATTTGGTCAGGGCCACAAGAAGGCGAGGTGGGCACCGAGAAACACTGCTCTGAATCTGTGCAGTTTACGGAGGTTCTCGACTTATAGTCTGTCTTGCAGTGGGCACCGACCTTGAAGGCTTGCATGCTACAGTTGGGTCTTGAGGTCCAGAGTAAGGCTTTAGAACGACAGCTGCTCTCCAAGCCTTAATGGCACATCAGCTCCGAGGAGCTGAAGAAAAAGTCGTAGTGGCTTTCAGGCGAGTCGGGCCCGTCCGAACTTCGTTCGGGACTCGGGCTTGACAGTATATCACATAGCCAAAAAGGCGAAAAATGAGAAGAGCAATACACCCAGCGACCTCCTCGGGATTGCATTTGACGTGCTCCCCTGTGGGATTTGGCAAGTTCCGACCACCAACTTGGCGGCCTGCGACGGCTGCGTTCCGTCGAAGGTCTCGTACTCCTGGGCCGCTTTAGTAGACCACCCAGACAGTCATGAGAAATTGTGTTCTTTCTTCAGAATACACAACAAAATAGGCAAAACATGCTCAGAATCCTCCAAAATCTACAAGAAAGGCCTAGACTCCCGGCTCTCCGGTCCGCGGGTAGAGTTGCTGTCGCCAAAGATCACCAGCACCCAGTTGCCCCAGCTACTGTGCGCAAGGACCTCCCTCAGAGGTGCGGATAAGTCCGGAGTGCTGACCTCACATCTGCCCCCACTTATCGGCAGTGTTATTGTCAGTATGGACGGGTGCTATAGTTTTAACATGTTTTCGCGGGAGTTGCCAGCCCGACCTCGGCACCCATGACGGTGTGGACATCAGGCACGTAGGTCACGCTGGCGTTGGTGGATGCATTCTCGTAGATGTTCAAGGCTGCTGCCGCCGTAAGGCTGGTCACATTCCTCGGCTCCCAAACTCAGCGCTCCGGCCCAGTACGACAATCATGTTGGTAACGGCAAGAATCACAACTAGCAAGGAGAGAAACATGACCATCAGTCTGGTGCTAGGAATACTACGAATTACTAGTGATCCACATGGCAATACAAATAAGAGGACAACTATGGTAAACTTCATGGTGGCAATAACAATACGCGAGGACCCAGGTTCAGGGTGGATGGGTTCAACGCCATCTTCGCCGTGACCTCCAGGGGTTCGTCGCAGCAGCCGCCTGTGCCTTACTTCCCTTTTAATGATACCTAAGACACTGAACACCGAACCGAAGAAAACAGAAAACCTAAAGCCTCAACCTCCTAGGAACTAAACGTCTAAACCTGTTAAAGAATAAGTTGCTGAAACTGGTAAGGTGAAAGTCTGGACCCAAACAGTGAAAAGGTTCTTTATTGAGGACTAAGCTGCCGTCCACTGTGAAGACGACACGGGCAGAGTTGATTGTCGCCTCGCGATCTTAAAGGTGATGACTTCCAGATGACTCCCAGGGGCCCTTTGGGTCTGGGTTCATGCGGTTAAGGGTTCCGGGTACAGCAAAAATGCCCGCAAGCATAATCTTGAAGACATTTCTTTACTATGAGTGTCTATCCAGTTGAACATGTCAGTCACGTCTGCGATGCATGCTTTGTTTGTTGGCGGGCTTGTGTTGCAGCAGCAGGCGTGCTTTGTGCACCATTGTCCATGTTCACCATAGCACACCCTGTCTTGGTGACGTGCTCTATCTTGTTGTTTTTCACAATTGGCTCTTGACAGCCCCTTAGAACGCGCTCATCGGCCAGCGAGGCTACATGCAGGTTAGGCGACAGTTCCTGCACCGAGGGGCAAATCATAAAAACATCCGCGATCGAAAGCTGTATCTCTTCGAGCTAAGTCGTTTGGGGCTTGTGATGCCGCTTCGGTGCATCCGACGCCAGGTCCACGTTGCGGAACATCAGGAAAACGGTCTGCTTTCCGGGGATGTTATTGCTGGTGTCCGGGCTCATGTCAGCACCTGGGCCAGAAGGCGCCCACCTCTGACAAGTGCTTGTTTTATATCAATCCCTACATTGTTACATACCGAAAGAATCCGAAAGACCTACAGCCCTGTCTGAACCGCACGCCTCCACCAAGCTGCCATCCGGCCACCAACTCCAAAAACCCAATCCCACGGACCCATAAATTCCATGGAATTACCTAGGAATTACGGTTTAAGATTTTGGGGGCTAGGGTTTCAGCTTTCAAGGCCATTTCGGGCTTGGGGCCCGTATGAAGGACCTGTCAAGATAGACCCGTTTCCGACCCTAAGAATCGGTTTTTCCCTAAAGAAGTCTCTGCGAAGATCCGACAACAGGTAGGGCCGGCCCTTCAAGAACTTTACAAATGCCCTCTCAAGGGGGCCTTCATAATTTCAATAGGGCCTGAGATGAATGCTGCTTATACTTTCTTCAAGGACTCTCTATCTGTTACTGAGAAACATCCTATGCAAGGAAAGGGATCTGTAAAAAAACCAAAAAACATAATGCAAGCAACCACTACAACCTGAAGACCAACAAACCTTTCAAACAGAAACGAATGACTTTTAAGCACCTCTCTGGCAGCCTTGTGCAGACCCTGTAAAGGCCACCGCCATCTACATAATTGTCTGGACTTCCTTCCACACTCGCTTGGGCCCAAATAGGCTCCAAGGCCTTTTAGGGGGCCCCAAATCCTTTTCATTGTTGGGTTTTCGGGCCCAAATAGGCTGGGCCCGGAAGCTTAGCGTTGTTAGGGCCCGAATGGTTTCCATTATTCCCAACCCCCAAAACCCGTAACGGCCCTGCACAGAGCCTTCATACAAGAACACCACAAGAAAGTGTGGTCAAACACTACAGTTACCCTCAGCCACAACGTCGAGTTGCCCAGCTCGAGATCAGTATCACTCAAGGACACCGTCATAAAGGCATGGGACCTGAGCTTTTGGGCACGCTCTTTGAGCTCTCAGGGCTGGTACGGGGCGAGGGTTGGATCGTGCCGATTTTCAGATATCCGGATTCTTAAGCGGGTTGAAGAAATCTTGTCTGTTGTTACCTCAGTGGAGGATTTGCAGGGGCCGCCGATTGCCTTAAACAGCCCGAGCATTCCACCCAGGCAACTCCACTCCAGCCTTCCAGCAGTCAGCCTCGTCCTCCCTGCTACTGCTCACTGGAGGGCCGGAGGGCTGGAAAGTAAACCTGTGGACAACGAATCAGGCCTTTTGTAAGACACGCGTACTACCTCTGTCTCCGCTGAGTTTCGGGCGCCCTGCCCTCCACATTATCAAAGCCTATTCTCTAAGGCCCGCTAGGTCTAAGGGCCTAAGGGTCTCCATGGTCCCACAGATGCCTCATCCTGGCCTGAGGAAGATGGAAACACTTTGATTCCGCAGCGCTGGCGCCTCTGACTACGCCCTCAGCCCTCGGGCATGCCCTGGAAATCCCAGGCCAGAGCACACTTCGAAGTCGTCTTCGCTCGCACTGATCTGCCACGTCTTGGTGACCTGACGGCTTTATTGGGTACCGCAGATTATACATTATACATCTTGCAATTAGTGCCTTTCTGGTTGTCGATGCTGCTAGAATGTATTCTTCGAGCTCGTACGAATATTGGGATGATTACTACAAGCACTACACGGGTGTAGACTATTCTTGGCTGATATCGACAGATGAAGCTCAGTGCACTACTTCCAGGGTAGGATTGCTTTTGCCAATGCGAAGTACTTCCGTACTCTGGAGACATCGCACCCTGAGGCCGATCCTTGCAGCTAGTCAACTAGTCCTCAGATCTTCTTTCGTCCTACATCGATGAGGCTCCTGTTGAATATCAAGGATCCTACAACTTCCTTACGGTCCTACTTTAGTGTCTGCAGCCTACTCGAGACTTGAAAAACACTGTTGAAAAACAGCAAGAGAGAGGATAGAGATGTAGATAGATAGAAGCGGCATGCTTAATAACCGACCCCCAAACCTCCAACTGGAAATAGACCAACTCAAGCATAGACACATGAATGGAGCGACAAACTCTCAGCACATCTTGATAATCCCAGTGAAACATCCACAAACCCATAAACCCGAAAGCCCCAAACCGGAAATCCATAAACCCTCAAACCCGAGTTTCGCCACCTCTTCTTGGCCAGCAGGACAGGAGCCGTGAACGGCAGCGAGGCCGCAAAGCATCGCCGCTGCTGCAAGGAAACGCATGGCGACCTCTGGTCCGAGAAGGATTTACGGGTTTGGGGTTTAGGATTTGGGCTTCAGGACATTTGCCTCTACTCTCCAACGTGGTCCTTTCGGGCCAAGTTGCCTTGTTATACGTCAAAACACACAAATCTTCAACAACATTGAAGAGTATTCGTAGGATTCGTGGAGTTTGGGCGCTATCCGAAACAGTGCTATTGTTGTTCGACATCCTTCAGATTTTCCATGAGATTCAAGAGAAGGGCATCCACCTCATGGAGACTTTGCCAACCAGTTCGGCTGGAAACGACCGGAAGCAACAGTATCCGAAGGCTCAAGGATAGGAATCCGCAGACCTCGATCCCATGAAACTCTAAACTCTCGAACCCCACCCTCCCGAACCCCAGGAAGGACCCTAGACGAAGGACCACAAAGAACCCCCAGGGCCTTGGGAGGTTCACAAGCGATGCTCGAAGACTGGAGGGGCCGAAGCTATGAGCTGTAACTGGCTGTCGTTGTGAGGGGTTCATGGTGTGGGGGGGCTTTAGGGTTTGAGGCTTGAGGCGGTTATTAGGCTTCACATCTCTTTTTTCATGATTTACGGGTCCGCCAGACACCCCCGTCATCGCCATCAGTGGCAAGCGCACTGTCATTCACTGCAAATCAAACAATCAAAGATACGCATGAGCAGCAGCACCACTGTTGTCGTCTCTCAACAACTAAACAGGGCCAAAGATTCGCATGAGCAGCAGCGCGTCTGTTGTCGTCTCTCAACAACCAAACACGGCCAGTGCCACCACCATCCCCACTACCACGCCACCATGATCTGCAGCATCACCGCATCAAACTTCAACGGCTGGTGAAATGTGTAAGGCACTAAGTTACTAAGGTTCATCCGTTTTTTATCTGCACATCTTTTTCGCCGCCTGCGGTCCAGGCACATGCAAAGAGGTTCTGAGCTGCTCAGGCAGGGCAGTCTGCTTTGGCATTTGGGTTCGGGGTCTCAAATCTAGGGTTAGACTCAGACTTCAGTGTGTTTGGCTTTCTTGCAACAATGATTCGTCTAGAGGTTCATCAAGGAGGCTCTCGTCCTGGTATGTTTGAGTTCGTTATGTTAATGCAAGTGGTATCCTTGACATGTCACTGGGACAAAGCTTAGTGCTTGGAGGAGTCGCGGAAAAAGGCCTGCCCAATGAGCAGCAATTCGCCGACAAGGCCTGTACAAGGTTTCGAGCCTCTTTGCGGCGGGCCTCTTTGCAGCCACGGGCAGGCTTGGCACAGGTGCCATGAGCCGGCAGTATCGAAGGCTTTCAACCCTAAACACCTAAACCCCAATGATGCTAATGGGTTTGCATGGACTCTGATCGGCGTGGCAGAATCGTTAGGAGCAGGGCAGGCTTGAGCAACCCACGCCTTTGACCACGGCTGAGGGCATCGAAGGGCCCAACTCTGCGATAAGCTGCAGGAGACAAGTCTTTGGAGGTTGAAAAATTCTCCTGAATCTGTCAGACAAGCCCTGCAATATGCCTTCTGTCACAGCGACCTGACCCGGCAGCTCCTCACGAATTTGAGCCGGCCTTTCGTGGCCTCAGCGAACAACCTCAGATCCACTTAAGGATCCGTCGGAAGGTGGTCCAAATCACAAAAGTAAGTGTGATCGAAGTTCCTGGCATCGAGTACGGGTCAGAGTTTATAGGAGAAGCGTGTAGGGCTCTGAAGCTGGGGCATGTGTGACCCACACCGAACGAGTCGCCACACCGTTCAAGACCATTCGATGGAAGAAGGCTCTTCCGAACTTCTGGGCCCCAGGGCTGAGTACGTACGTCCTAACGACAATGCCTGTAGGCGTGGGTCTCCGAGAGCAGGAGCTAACATGATGGCCAGCACCAGAACAACGATACTCGACCACTAGGCCAGCAGCCAAATGGCTCTGCAGCTTGATCAAGGTCTACGTCTAGAGGTGCAACCGATTTCCATTCGCTGAAGGGTTGGTCATGAAACTTTCGCGTGGCTACAGTGGAGGCGCTGGCCCTGGTACATGCGGTGGAATCGGCCTCCTCTACTACTACCATGACCATGCATGCCGTCAGTAGGAACGGCAGCACAGTAGCAGTCGTGGCGTGGTGCTTGCAGTGGGTTGCGTCTATGTTTCCTCAATTCTCTTCATGACCGCACCTATCATGCTTCTCGCAGCCTAAAGTGGCACGACAGGCTTCAACCTGCATGTGTATTGTATATATATATATATATATGTACACACACATGTACGTATGTACATAGCATATCATACCATACCATTCCAGTCCATATCATACCATACGTACATACATAGACATGCAACTCAATCCGAATAAAGGTATACATACACACGCATACTGTGCTGCCACGAGTAGACTGAATACTTCAACCCAGTCCTCACTGTACGGTCGAAACTCCAACTTGGAAATCACAGGCCCTGGCTTCTATGAGCCTAACACCACCATGCCAACAACCGCAACGACAGGCCGGCAAGACCCCAGAAGAGGTAGTAGCCTCGCTTCTCGGCCATCACGCCGAACCCGGGAACAACGGGCTGACCTGCCTCTCAGAATGAGTACCCCCGATTTTTCTGAATCTGCCGAAGATTCTGCTTCGGGTCTACCGTTTTTAGCTTGGAGTCGAAGGGGCTGGGCTTTATCGGTAATGGTTCAAGGGTTAAGGATTAAGATCTAGCGCTGTGTGGTGGGTGCTTAGTCGGTTGAGAGTGGTGGTCGCTCGGGATATAGTGCCAGGGATGCTTGAAGGCTCAACCATGCAAAAGTCGATGACGCGTCGCTGGGCTTGTGCACAACCTCAAAGATCCCGCCTGTCACCCAAAAACCTACTTGGATGGAAGCAATGATACGTTTAGGGTTTTCTTTCTTGGTCCTAGATACGGCGTTGCTGATGCAGAAAACCTTGCATCACCCATGAAATGAGAAGGATGAAGCATCTACCAGATTCTCATAGTGTAGAGTACTGAAGGTAAGCAGGACCTCGTCACTCAGCAGCTTTGCAATTCTTTATGTTAGAAACTAACCCTAAAGCTGCCCTACTCTGCAGTTCAACCATTTGTTGACCCTCTCAACCCTGGAAGCCCTCGCGCTCAAAGCTCAAAGACTTCTTGAAAAGGTGGCATCGGAAACCTGGCCTCATCCTGCCAGTTCATGCCAAAGATGCCCGTGAGGAGATGTGTCGGCATCACCAAGGTTGTCACCAAGGTCAACACGTACAGCACCTGCAAACACTGAAAACCCTGCAGCCTAACCACCCTGAACCGCACGATCCGGGATGGACATTCGGTTTAAGTTGTGAGGTTCAGGGTTTGGAGCTTCGCTAGTCGAATCCGCCCATGATAGAATGTCGCCGAAGAGATTGGGATGGGCAGGCAGAGAAACAAAATGCTTGTGCTACCACGAACCTATGCCTCTGCGCCCTCTGGGCTGAACGACGTCGAACTCCCCCCCAATGTGAACCAAATGCCCAGCGTTCCGGTTGGTGTACGAGGAATCCGGCAGATGATTTGTCTTTCTGCTTTGAGCGCACGAGCCGGGATGGCCTCGAGAAGGTACGTGCATGTATTGTGAATGTAACTTACATGCATGTGTCTTCATGTGTTCGTACACACAGATATGCATATACATATATATATATATATGTATATACACATACACATAGATCTTCATTTACTTGTGATTCGTTTGTGTTGTTTAGACTTTTAGACGTGATATTACTATTTTTGTACATATTTAAAAGCAAGGTCGATGCATGTGCTCCTGTTAAGATGATTGGACAGCTCCGGAAGACCGTGTTTGTGTTGTGGCTCCAGCCTTTTGCTGCTGGCGGTCCCTGTAGGAGTTCACCTCATCCCGCAAGGAGTTGCACACTCCGATAATGCGGCTGACCTGCAAAGACAGATCAATGAGACAGAATTTTGCTTGTTTTTGAACACGGTCTTAGAGGTTCAGGGGCTGGGGCGCCTTAAAGGGAACTCCGTAAGCTACTTGGGAGCAACAGTGGGTCATCTCTCTGCAGCGCGGGCCGAAGAACAGAAACACAAGACTCTGAGCCATGCCTTTATCTGCAAACTACGCTGGATTTCTTGCCATGGGCAGCCTGAGCGGTTCCTTGCTCAAGGAGCACTTGGAAATGTAAGCGGAAGCCACCGCAAATCTGAGTGAATAACTTCCAACATCCTACAAACGAAAGCCCGCAATCCTTAAACCGAGCGGCCACAATTCGAATCTCAGACCCCGAAAACTCTCACACCACCTTTGCTGCTTTGAGGAACAATCTTGGCGTAGGACCTGCCTCTTCCAAGAAAAGGTTGAGGTGATCCTCAACATCTTCAAGATATCTGGTAACGTCCGGGTCGATGGCCTCCCCACAGCAGTCAAGAATCCAGGCTTCTGGAAAAAACAATCGATTTCTCTAGTGACAGTGATACAAGAAACAAGTAGGCATAATCGTTTGGTTGTATCACCATGCAATTCAACAGCAACAATGGTAAGTCTAGGAAAGGGAACAGTTCTGATGCTACCACTGCTGTTGCCGCCACCATCACTTCGACAACTTGCAGCAGCACAGTGCTGATAGCCGGCCCAGTATCCGACATGACAATGATACTGAAAAGGTGCACCATTCGGCATCCTTGAGCAGTCACCCATACTCGCTACTGTTGTAATTAATACGATTCTTGAGAGAATGCTGATATCCGGCCCAGTATACTGAACACATGCCATGCTCGCCGTCGTCTCGTCGTTTGCAGTCACCCATACTCGCATTGTTGTGATTCGTATGACTCTTGAGACTTTGACACTTTGCATTTTTGCATGGATAAGATCGTGACCATAGTCTTGCAGTCTTGCCAATTGTTGTATGCACACACGATCCAACCACCTGTCCACGCACAGATCCATCCGTGTCATTATGTACGTACAGATGTACGTAAAGTAACATGTGGGGCAAATTCGGCATACACGTGCACCAGCTTCCAGATAAATATGCATGTCAGTTTTGTATGTACATATGCAAATGTCTATGTGTGTATATATACATATATAGACATGAATGTGTGTGCATATATATATATATAATATTATTATGCATGTATGTGCGTGTATATACATACCCAGATTTATACGTATGTATATGTGTATATATATACATATATACGTATATATGTATGTATATGTCTGTATATGTGCATATTTGTATGAACATGTATGTATGTTTGCCTGCCTGTCTGCATGCATGCACGCATGCATGTGTCTGTGTATGTGTATGTATCTAGGCATGTAAACATGTAGGCTTGCACGTACATGTGTACGTGTATGCATGTGCCTAGCCCTAATGTACCGCTAACCACTAACCCCTAGATCCCTAAACCCCAACCCCCCAAGCGCTAAACCTCGAAACACCTCAACTCGGAGTTGCCTTGTCCTTGATCAGATGCTTCAAGACCTTCAAGATGGGACGCACCTTGCGCTGGACCCAGTCAAGTTCGACCTTCAAGAGGCTTGCGCTTTGTCAAGGCTCCGCTCGGGTCTTTTGAAGGCTCGGGGTTCAGGGTGTTGACGTTTTGGCTTCGGCTAGCATGGACGAGATATTAGATACAGCCGGAAGGACTTGAAAGACCAGATTCCGACACTCCCAGCAACCCATCCAAACATCGCCGCGCAGTGATCTAGAGGCTTCAGACATCAGACACTCGGGACAAAAGCCTTGGGTGTAGGCTTTGGGGCACAAAAGTACACCAGCCAAAACCCCAAACGCAATGGCACTGGCTGACCAAAGATCTTGCTGACCTGTGCCTTCAGGGGTGTTAGGGTTGAGCAGCAACCAACAACACATGAAACCATGATGTGGTGTTGCGGTTCTGCACCGGGTGAGACAGCTGCTGCTGCCTGCTGGCATTCCTCCCTAATCAGTCTGCTGTACTGTACTACTTGAAATACTACATGAACCCAATGACTAGGTCGCAGTTTTGATTAAGGCTTTACTGCCGAAAGCTATTGAACGACATGAACCCCGAAACCAACTAATCTCTGAAGCCTGAATCGAAGCATAATCCCAAATTTGAAGCCGAAAAATCCCGGCCATCAAACATTTCTGAAGCTGAACCGTCCCTCTACAGCCCGGAGCTCACTTGGAACAAAAAAGATGCAAACTGGCCTTGCTTCGCAGGAGTCGCTTCTCCTCAGATTTTGCTAGCCCTCTTCGGGTTTGAAATCTTGAAAGCATAGAGAAAGTCTGATGTAGTAGAATTGTGCACTCCAGGTAAGGAGTCTGCGTTAGACCTGATACCGTCTTGGAGCCCTGCATTCCAGGGTGCCTCAACCAATCCCCTAGGCTTCACGTCGTCACCTTGAACCGCTGAAGGCTGTATTCTGACAGGATTTCCGAAGATGCTACAACATCGTCTGGTTTCCTCTACTGGTCCGAAAGACCACAAGGATCTCAAAGGATCCGTCGAGATCTCCGGGCTTTGGCTTTGGGCTTCTGGAGTCCACACTATAGGCATCATGGGGCCGAAAATATAGTTCTTCTGTTGATGTGGTGTTTGTGGGTCTTGATAGAAGCCATGGTGAGTTTTGCGGGCACAGGGACAGCCGAGTCGCCACGTCTTTGGAGACTCGCGCTTCCTGAGTGGTGATGAGACCTGGGCTGCTCGGAGATATGTGGGGTGGCCCGGGGTCTTGTGTGAGCTCTTTAGCAGCTTACAGATTAGGTTCCTCTTGTGTAGAACGCTTCTACAGTGCTGGATCGAACGGTTTAGGGCGCGTATGCCAGTAGGGCCTAACTCCGGCCCGAGCCTCGATTTATGGCTCCCCCCACTTTTCTCAAGCTGGAGATGGATCATTTGGGGGGCAGATCAGATAGTTTGACAGCGTCATGGCACATGGGCATCTGCCCTGATCCACACGCTACAGGCGCATTGCATTGTCATGCCAGGACTAATGATCTTTGCCTTCGTTGTACACTCCGACTACGGATGCTAACCTTAATTATGGTGATTCCAGCGAGGCGCCAAACATGCTGGTAAGTATTGTAAAGCGCATCGATGAAGACCAGAACCTCGAAACCTCCCTCCCAATGTAGCTTTGCGTGGGGTGTTACGGTCCTGATAGGTACCCTGGACACTACATCTTGAACGATATCAAAAATTCATTCCCTGATCTCGAAGAGACGCTAAATCCCATGTTTAACACCAGCCCCCAAACCCGCCAAAACCCGAAAACATCCTGAAGGCTAAAGCCGCATACGATGCACGCCAGATCAGCCTAGATCACTGATCTCTGATCCCTGCGCTCTTTGAGGCCAATGCTGGAAAACCACCGGAGCTGAGCTCTGTACCTGGGTTCAAAGAAATGCTTGAGTGTAGAGTGTAGGGTTTATGGAACAGTCAGGCTCAGGTGGGTTGAGGTGTAAGGGTTTTGGACGTTGCAGGGCTCAGGGTGTAAATCTCAAAGGGTTCGGCTGTAGGATCGAAGGTCGCTCGAGGTCAGAGGCTTCGAGAAGGTTTGGACTTTGGAGTCACTAACGTCGTAGTGTAGGGCCGGGACTCCTTTCAAGATTAACCCTTCAACTCAAAGCGACAAACACAAAACCGGAAATTCAAAGTGGCGAAAGCTATCCTGAAGACAGAAGTGCGTGGGCACGTCTTCGACAACCGTGCCTTCCAACAGAAGATAGTCTTTACTTAAGGATTTGGAATCGTGAAGATCACTAATACGATGAATCGATTGCCCTGTTCGGGCCCTCTTGCATGGTGCAACTCATAGGTCTTGCATCAAACATATGCCGGCTCTAACATGTAGGTCCCATGTTCCGAAAAAACCATGGCCATCCCTGAGAAGAAAGCGCATCCGATGCCAGTCGCTCTCGGCGAAATCTGAGTCGCATGCCTCCTGCCCTAAGCCCAAAATCGCAGACCAAAAACTCAAAACCGAGCCACACCCTCGCCCCGGGGCTCTGGCGCGGAGAGGATCGGCGATAGTTCGTCGATGGTTACGTCAACAAGGCGCCTGAGCAAGACGATCGTTATGTGCAATGTAGTAAACGTCTGCTCAGTAGACTCCTCGCTTCAAAAGTACTCTATAATAGAGACCGGAACCAAGGCTCTTCAAGAAGGGAACAGTTACGACTCAGGGCCTCACGTTATTTGGGGCTTGTCAACTCAAGCATCAGGATGCCAAGAACATCCTAAATCAAAGCAAAAGGTGGATCGCCCCAAACTTGACCTTGACTTGAAGAATACTGCATGAAAATAAATACCCCCGAACAGGGCGCCCCTTATCAAAGGAACGACTGCCGCTGATGATGGGGACTAGGACGAGAACGAGAAGGCGACAATGGCCGATGTCGACGTGATGGCGAAGAATGTGCGAGATGGCAGCGGTGCAACCGTGGTCGTGGACGTTGCAGTGGTGATGAGAATCATGGCGACGATGCTGGCAACAGCAACGAGGACGATATTTACGATGATGATGCTTCTGCTGGTGGTGGTGGCGATGCAATGATGACACCGATTGCACCTTCCATGGTGGTACTCAGAACAACAGTGAAAACGACGACGGTGGGTGTTTTCCTTCCCATGATCATGGTGATGAAAAGGATGAGCATCCTCCTCATGTCATAACAGCCACGATAGAGACGACCATAATGAAACTGCTGAGGATACGAAAAGCAACGTTTAAACCACAAACTACAACGTCGCTGAGCAGAGAACCACAGGATCCAGGAGGCGTTGCCGGCTCTGAGCATGGAGTAATCTCGCTGGATCTGTCGGACGACCTGTCCCACGATAACTGATGGGACTGCTCTGTAGCTTCGGGTTTTGAGCATTAAGCCGCTTAAGTCGAGGACTTGCAGCTCGAGAAGTTTCGAGGAGCTCCGAAATACATAGAATGATGAAAAAGATTTTCCACTTTTACAGCCGTCAACTGCAAGCAGCTGGACTCCAACATACTCTGCGCATGCGACGAAGTTCCTAGCCCGGAAGTTTACCGACAGCGTGCTGGCTCTGATTTACCATGGGGTTCAGGCCTCAAAGCTGACATGTACAGGACACTGCCCACACCAGTACACGACGCACACGCCGTGAAACCAACAAATTGGCCGGGGAGGCCCCCGCGAAAAAGTCCTGCTCGTCGCCGGTCTCTTGCCTGCTGATCACGATAGCAGGATTTCTGCAGACTTCGTGCAAGCTCACAGGCCGGCTTAGTTTACTATGCGTCGCATGCTACATCGCCACGATGACGGACAGGTTTAGGTCCATTCAAAGTGAAACTGAACTCGCCAAACGGAGCTAATCGGAGTCCCCAGGCCCATACGACCAAAAAAACGTGCCAGCTCCTGACGCTCGCATGGCATGCGCGGAAGGCTTGTGAACATCAGCATTTTCAGGATGTCACTCGAGAGCGGTAGCCCATGTGGTTTTGCTAAACTACACATTCACAAATTTTCGCGAAAATCATGGTCATATATTGAACCCGCGATGACAACTATTTGCAAAGATTTCAAGCACGTTCAAACCACGTCCTGCTGCCTAAGACGTCCTTTGCACGTTTGGCTTTCTTCCACACAGACGAAAGCATGCGGCAGGCGTGCCCGAACCCCATGTTTGACACAGCGTTCTTACACCTTGCTGGATTAGGGCTTCGTGGTACTTGAAGCCAGGTCCCGTAAAAAACAGCATCTGTTACGCAGATCCGCACGAGATTGCAGATCCGTTGGAATACTACGAAACACTACCAACAATCAAATCTCTGCAAGCTCTAAAGACGCTATAGTAGCCTAAACTAAGCTCTCAGCTCCTTGAACTCATCCGACGCAATAACATCCGGGCCAAGCAGCGCAACAAGTATAAGCAACAACAGCAATGAATGCCAGCGTGTACTCCTCCTCAGCATAGCCATCCTTATCACGAGCATCTTGAACATTGAACATTATCGTCCAAACTCACAACACCACCATCATCATTGCCACTGCCATCGTCGTGCTCATCACGGTCTACATCCTCGTAAGCATCGCTATCATCACCACCATCATTATCCCTTGCCACCACCATCATCATCATCATCATTGACTTTGCATCATAGTGTTGTCGACCTTATCATCCTCGACTCGTGCGATCAGCAGCAGCAACAGCAGCTTCTATCATGACAACCGCCCCATGTCCAGCATCATCGGCACCGCCACAGCCGTAGTTACCATCATGCTAACCATCAGCACGAACATGCTGCAACTGCAACTCGCTTTGGATTAGTGATATCCTTCCCTCTGCTGGTCACCGTGATGTTGCTCATCATGCTATCTCATGAGCAGTGTGCTGACTGCCATCTCACCACTAGCAGTCGTCGTCATTATCTCCATCATCTTCATCATCATCCGACGCAGCTTCGAAAACAAACAATCGCCTCTTTGACATGTTTCTTCACTTTCGTCATGGGCAGCTTCATGGCAATGCTCACAGTTAGTCGAAACGGCGAAAGCACATGAAGCACTGTTGCAAAGCCAGCGGCGTTCTTTAACATCATGAACACATTGTGATTGTCATCGTTCGCATCAGCAACATCACCATCTCCATCGTCGTCAAAAATGTCTTAATGAGAGCCATGAGTCCCGAAACATTAGGCCAAATACATTCCTCACTGATAGAGCATACAGACCGACAGCCAGCCAGGCAGGCAGCCCACCGATCCGTGAGGATCTCAGGCTACCGGACCGGTGGCCTCTCCGCCTCGCCCAAAGTCATGGAAGGCGACGGCATGCTGGGCGACCTCGATCTGTCGAGGCTCCCTTTTCCAAAAAATTCATACCATCCTTTCCCTTTCGGAGACGCCCTATATGCCACAAACCCCCAAACACTATGTGCAAATCAGTCTTGTCAATACATACATCTACACATATATACATAAAGTAGAATTGTACATATGCATATATACATATATATATATATATGTACATACAAACACGCACACTACACACGCACACACGTTCAACTGCCCCAAGCCCATCAAGCCCTGGTCTGAGCCAGGGACAGAAGTGGCAAAGGCGACAAATCTATCTGAGTTCGTCCTTCTGACGGCGGCAAATCTTGGGTGCGGAGAATCAGTGCAGTAGGTTCATCACCGTAATAACAACTAGCAGCTAGTAGCAAAAAGAGAATTAGCAGCGGCAGCCGGAGTAGCAGCAGTAGCAGCACTAGTTCGCTACCAGTGCTGTTGTTGTTGCTGCTGTTGTTGTGCGAGTACTTGTCCTAGGACAGTACCAAGACTAGTACGAAGAGCAGGAGCAGGAGCAGGAGGAGGAGGAGGGTACATGTGGTCTTGGTCGGAGCTTGCTAATCTTCATCCAGTTTGGGGTTACGGGATTAAAAATCAGGGTTAAACGGCTTGGGTTTTGGAAGTTGTGGTTTACGTCCCAAACGGGCTGCGTCTGCTTCTGCTTGTGGAAGCTACTCCAGCCAACGAGAGACTCTGTGGGTCTGAAGGGAAGCCTTGAACCTGTATGCACTTCTTCAGGTCTTTGTGATGTAACATCCTGTATAGCAAAGTAATCTGGTGAATCTAGTGGACTTCGGCAGAGGAAAGCACAAGCGCAATCGCCCGGGGAAGCCAAACCCCAAACCCTGCTGACATCCGGCCGGCAGCGACCCAAAGTCTCGACCGTGGACCCTGCAGCCCAATTGACTTAAGCCCACAACCACTAAAAGCCTGAACCGAGGAGTGAGAATCTACATGTAGATGCCTTGAAACCTGTGTTTATTTCCTGTCATTCCAGTTTGTTGACATGCTCTCCATGCCCTAAACCCTAAACACTGAAGCTGCAATCGTACGGAGCTTAGAGCTTTAGGGCTGCATTGGTTGGGGCTTTGAAGCTTCAGGACATGATGCCTGGAGCGTCGTCACTGGAACTTCGAACTCGGCCTCGAGAAAAGGAAGCTTCTCGGGACTCTCAAAAAACCACGGCCCTAGTTACGCAATATTCGGATCTTCATTGTAAGGACGCATACCAGAGCAAGAGCCTCCTTCGGGGCGCGGTTTTGGGTTTGGAGGCTCGGCGGGCTTCGATTCCATTTAGCTTTGGAGCTTAGGGTATAGGTGGTTTAAGATCTTGGACGTTTGGTTGTCCGGCTTCAGGGTTTTGAGGGGCTTCGGGAAGGATTGGGCCTCGTGGCGCAAAAAAACGCATCATACTCCTGCTTTAGGCGTTGGCATGCTGAACCTTTCGCCTTGCAATGAGCATCTGAACCCTTTCGCCCGAAGGCCTAAAGGCCCGAAGACTTGAAGTCGAAACAGGTCTCAGAACTCATCCAACTACCCTGAACCACAGATACTACAGGGTCCAGAGTCTGAGATATTCCAATAAAGTCCGCAAACGCTCTGAAGCCGAAAGCCTGGAAAGCTCTCACGTCCGGCAACCTCTGAAAGCACTTGCTCCCGTGACCCTGCCCCGTTTCTGTGCTACCTTAGCAAATACAGTCACGTCGCTCGCCTGTACACCTCCCGTTACTTTCCCGAGTTGCTTGTTCACTGTTCGATTTCTCTGTCATTCATTGTCCTTCGCGCCCTGCCGGTGTCTGCCACAACAACCTCCGATAAGGAACAATGGAGGCCCAAAGCGTTCTCCACGCGACCTGATCGTAAGTGCCCTCACCACCACTCCCGCCTGTCTCGGCATGCTCAGATTCTCCATGTAACTGGCATTTCTTCCACTCTGTCATGAAGCTGATGACCTTGGTTTAGGCCGAGTCACCGTGGAGCCTCTCTCAGAAGCGAGTATTCCCGGCCCTACCACTCCGGCATACCAAAACCCATCAGGCCAAACTGTGCACCCTCCATCAAGCCTGCAAGATGCAAAACCCTAAAGCCCCAATCCCTGAAACCCCAAGAGCCCGAAACTAAGAAAAGCCATACCTGATGCCCTGCACCTTGACTCCGGGCTCCCAGGCGGTGTCATAGTGCGGCGGGCCCGCAGCGAAACATGCGAAGCGGCAGTGCTCCAGCTGAGCAGAGGGCAGATTTTAGGGTTGAAGGTTTAGTTTAGCGATGATGATACTATATAATCCATGTTTACCCAACATTCTGTGGATCTATACTTTTGGCGCATGCACCCTGCTACATGAGGTCTTCGGACATGTAATCCTGTTGAAGGCTGGCCGAGAACCCAAAACCCTAAACACTCGAGGACACTCCTGTTCAACAAACCTAGGATAAGTTTGAACCCTCCATGAAGCGCCCCTTGCAGGACGCACCCAATAAACCGCTACGACGAAAAGCACTCGGAATCTTCCATGCAACATAACGTAGTGTAACATAGTATCATATAGTACAAGCCAATACCATATCCATTAAATGCTGCTACGACGATGCCGGGGCCTCCGGAGCAGTGAAGATATCCTCAGCCTCAGCCTGCACGTCAGAGATGCGCCTTGCGTAGCAGGCGCCCAGGTCTCGACATAGGGAGCTTTTAGGCAAGATTATTGGAGGGGGGACACAGCTTTGAGGCCTTTTGAGTTTCATCGGCATGCCTTCCTCGGGCATGGTAAGGAGCAGGAAGCTGCAAGTGCTTGGGTTTGCGAAATATCCGAATTGAGGTTCGCAGGCCGTAAATGCCTTCCGTGATCGAAGGCTCAGAGTTACTTAGGGCGCAAGGTGCAAGGTAGAGCAATTGGCCGACAGTACTCCGTGTCTTTGGGATTCCGGGAGAGGTGGCAGAGGGTGCGATTGCTGTCTCCAGGCCGGGGCTCCAATGCAGCTCTGCATTAAAGGCATTTCATGATCCTCTTTGTGGAAACGTCTCCGAAGATCTGGTATCGGGGAACATGGGGTTCAGACCGCCATTGCGGCACTCGGAGTCCCAACCTTGAAAGACAAAATCAACCGCAATGGCACCCCGTGGGAGCACCTTGAGCGCAGCTCACGGTACTGGCTAAGCTTCCTGCGTGGCAGCATGCGTCTCATCGGGTTACAACGCTGAGAACGAATAGCAAGGTACTCAAACCGATTGGGATCCCGAAGTTACAGCTCTACATGAGAGTTGAATCTGCCGACGAGTATTCAGATGACAAAGGATCTAACACACACACACACACACACACACAGAGTACACGCTCCAAAGTCTCCAACGATCTACCTCCCGATCTCTTGGAACGGTACACATTGGAGCCTGCACCCTCGATCGCTGCCAGCTGAATCCCTTCAACAAGGCCAAACCGCATAGCAGCTCGAGACGGTTGAGTAGCAAGGCGCACCATGCACAAAGCTTTTTCCCGCAACAAGGCAACTAGTAATCAGATTATAAGTAAAGTTACTCCAAACAACCCGAACGATCATGTCTCCTGTGGTCCTATGACGAAGAAATGGTAGCAGTCCTTACGGGCCAAGACATGGTGAACAAAACACCCTGCTACGAGTAAAGGAGTCGTAACAAAGAACTACTACGATGTTGGAGCCCGGTCATGTCCCGGAATGATCCGCCTGGTTACTTGCGCACCGCAATAGCTTGCAGCCTAAGGATCACGAGCCCAGAAAGCCCGAATCGGAACAACTCCTTCCTTCCCCGCCCACCCCAAACTCAGTACCATCGCCCCCTCAGGCTTATCCTCTTGGCTTCGGAGGTCAATCTCAAAAGAGGGATCACCACGAAAAAATTCTCGTTGTACTTGCGGACCTCAGGGCGCACATGGCTCGTGGGGACCTCCCTTTCGGGTTGAGGGTTTGTGGCTTAAGGCAACGGCTTCGGCGCTGGCGCCGGTTAAAAGGAGACGGTGGCATAAAAGGCGATGAAATTTTAGCACAAGGAAAGCCATATCATGTCGAAGCCACGAGCCTGGAGAGCTCACCTGTTTTCACCTAAACCAAGACAACACATTGAGCGCCAACTTCAAATGACTGAACCATTAACTCAGAGCTCAAGCAAAGCAGTCCATATGATAGGTCCTTGCTTCAGGAGCTTCTGGACAACAGTGTCATGGGCATTGCTAGTATGTTGCTGATGATGATTGCCGTGATTTTAGCGCTGTCGTCGTGTCAGCATCTGCTGAAATTGAACCATGCTTGCAACATCTGTACTGGTTTGCCTGGCGGTAGTCTTCATTGAGTATGACTGAGATATCCGGATGATCTTATGCAGCAAAGAATCTACCACAAGTTTGGCGACCAATGTTACTTTACTCGACATGCCAGTCCTGTGATTCGTATTAAGACGTAACACAGCATCGTGTCCGAGTGGTTACTTCTGATATGCGCCTAGTGATGCCAGGAAACCGGCACATCAAAAGGACGTCGTCTCGTGTTTTCAAGAAAAGTAAAACCCCCAAGGCCAACACATCCGGCAATGACCAGAAACCCCCACCATCACTCACCTAAACTCTCGGCCCGGAACTCCAATCTCTAAACCCTAAACAACTCAGCCACCATGGAGCGACCGGAGCCATGAGCCACCACGGCCCCAACAAAGCCACAACCCCCTAAACCCAGGACCTGTATCAGCTAAGTCTGAGGCCAAAGGAACGGATTGCTGCTCCAACTGGATTAAGTCTTCCACCTTTGTGCGTCGTGCGGCTTAGTCTGCACTTTGCGCGATGCCGCCTGGCGATTATGATATTGACAGCTTGAAATAAAGCATTCCTCGATTATGTGCAGTAGCCGAAGAAGCTCCTGCACTGCCCTGCACAAGTTACAACCACTTTCGTCCACTATGGCTCAGGCAACGCGCGAAAGTAGACGGAAAAGTCGGACTGACCGTTCTGCAGGTACGACAAGCTTTCCTATTGCTGACCCTTCCAGGTTCACAGTTGGCTCAAGGCGTCTTCACAACGTCCTCACGGAATCGAACACTCCAAGGAGGCTATCAGGGTCACTCAGAAGCAACGGAAACAAATGCAGAATGATTTGCTGTTAGAGTTTCGTTTCGAGTATCATCATCACGGTGACACATGTAACCATAGTAAGTGCATAAATAATGCCAGCAATCAGAACAGTTGTAAATTGGTGCTACGAGTGATAATGATCGTGCGAATCATGACGATGCTTCGTTAATGTCGTTACCGGAAAGTACCAAATGGAAGCGAGATCAAGTGTCCATGAATAGTATATAACTGACGACAACTCGACACTATAGACAGGTGTCAGTGCCAGTAGCAGTCGCGATACGCACTGCAACTTGCATTCGCCAGATGCAAAGGGATGTGGAATCCGGAATTAGAATGGTTTTACCGGTGTGACCGCGGAATGTAACGACGTAAATCTGTGCTGATTTGACTAAATACGTTACGACTTCGGTAGTGCACTGCAACAAGCATATTTATTTCTTGATGGACGATGAGCCATCTCAGCCCCCAGCCGGCAGCGGGTGCAATTGGTATTTCACTGCCAGGCGCAAGATGGTCGGTCGTCCAACCCGCGCGCAGTGTACCTGTTGCAGAAAGGCTAAGCTACGAGGGTTTAGGGTATATGGTGTTTAGAATGTTTACGATTTAGGGCTTGTTTGTACCTTTTCGGTCCAATGCCCAAGGTTTCAACAACTCTGGGCCGGGGTCTTGAAAGTTTAGCCTTTAATCTCCTAGGTATTGAGGAGGTACCCCCAAGGGTCCAAGTGCCTTGCTGTCCTGAACCCGAGTACCTCATGATGAAGTCCTTTGGACCCATAAAGCATCTTAAACCTCTACAAAGACTCTATAGAACCGGAATATCCCTTAACTCATGTCATATTGAGGTTCTTGTTATAATCTAAGGGATGTTCATGAATTGAGGGGACTTGGAGTCTCTGGGCAACAGCCGGTCGACGGGTCCGGAGGAAGTCGGGGATACCGGCTAGGTGTTATGGGTTCTGGTGCTTCGGGTTTAGGGCTCGGGATTCCCGGCACGGATTTAAAGTTGAGGGTCAAGGCAGCTTGTGCGGCGTCACGACCCAGATTACCTAAGGGCCTAGATGCACGGATTTAGCTAGGGACGCTGCTACCAGCTGTCAGAACAGGGCTCAAGTACTTCGTGAAGGATCTGAGCCCGGCAGGGCACCCACCGCATCTTCATCTGAGCCTTCCGGTGGGTCAAGAAGAAGTCCTGAGCTTGGGCTGCCGGCGTGCGACACGGGGCCATATCTTTGCCCAACCATGCGGCCTCGTTGCGCTTCATACCAAGGCGGTTAGAGCCGTGATTCTGATTGCTACAGTACCAATCTACAAGACGGAAAAGCACAGGAACACATGACAACGACAGGCAGGGCACGGTAACCGAAGAAAAGCCTTCTGTCCTCGCGGCGAGGGCCGGAAGAATGCAAGCTGCTCTTGCAAGGGTTCAAAGCGTAGAATGGTTCCGACACTCTGACAAAACTTGGTGGTGAAACCGCGTCGCAGCCTGAGAAGCCACCATGAAGGGTCCAGCTTTTGAGGCTCCAGGCACCTAAAGCATCCAAACCCTAACACCCTAGAAAAAAAACAAAGTCTTAGATCCTAAACAAGCCCTCACGCCCTAACGCCGGAACCAGGAAACCTCAGGATCTTTTGCCATCCGAGTTTCCATCGGCCTGTCCGGCCTGCGAGGAAGACTAGTGACTACTGTGGGTCGCAGAAAGCCGGAGATCGAGATCTTTGTCATGCTCCTTGTCCACATTTCCTGATTATTGTTCACTGCATCTCCCCCGTCGCCAAGGCTGTCCAAGGTTCAAGGTTGCGGAATCGTGCAAGTAGTAGACTCGCTGTGATGAAGCTTACCATCCTGGCCTCCAGCCCCTAGAAGCCCAACGCCCAGATCCAAATGCGACATCTCCCATGCTGAGGGTGCTCAGCTCGCTCTAAAACCTCATCCGGAAGCCTCTTCCGGCTTCCTCACGCACCGAAAATCCCAAAGCACGAACCGGATGGTAAGGTACCCAAAACGTCTTTTGTTGACTAGACACGTCTGTCAGCCGGGACTGAGCCTCCGAAAGTGCGACATAGTCAATACTGGCAAGTTTGAGTGTGCAATCCTGCAGGATCAGACTTGCGATTTGTTTCTTCGCCGACACCCCCACGACTGCTACGCTGCTACAGCAGAACTCCTCGGGAAGTAGGATGCTGCGAGAACCTCCCAGTCAGTCCATCAGAGTCCAAGTGAGCGTTCCAGTTTCTGGAATTGGATTCAAAAGGAGCCAAGAAGCCCTGACAACGAGCAGGCTCCCGAATATAAACCTCTAGCCCCAAAACTTGTTCGTTTCTACTTGTGTTCTGTTTGTCGCGCCTGAACAGATAGCCATTGGAGTCGTTAGCGCTGACAAGTATTTCTAGCGCCGCGGTTAACATCTACAAGAACACTGCTTCTGGCCCCACTTAGCCCAGACTCTGAACAGCCTGGGGCTTCCACGTTCAGGGTTTGGGCAAATTGAGTCATCAAGGCGTTCAATGTACAAGCTAAGCACCCTGCCTTCGAAAGTAAAACTCATCAATTCGCCGTTGGTTCCAGTCGATGAAGCCGATAAAGCCCGACTCCTACAGAGAGATGCTTCGCTTGTGATCCTGCAAGTCTTTCTAGGCTCAGATTGCTCGGAATTTTGTGAGAATGACAAACAGATTTGTTTTCAGGGCTAGGTGGCCAACCCACCGATTCTGTGACTCGCCATGTCACGAAGGATAAGATCTGCCGCATCCCTGTCCCATGCCAGGTGATTCTTAAACCGAAAATCTGGGGAAGGTTCATTCCTATACCGCCCAGGTCCTCTGGCAGCTGTGGAGCTACGGTTCCGGTGGCCTGGGCGCACGTTTCCCTCTAATGAGATCTAGGGTTTCAGTCATTGCGGGACCGAGAAACTCGAACAAGATGAATTAACTGATTCTGCCTTTTGGGTTTGGAACCACTGAACCCTCAACCTCAACCGCGGATCTTGTGTTCAGGCAGCCAAACAGCAACCGCAACACTGGGACATCCCATAACCCTCTTTTTGAAGCCAAGAAACTAAGGATTAAAAGCGGGTGTTGCGTTGAATTTTTGGTTTGAAGCGCGAGAACCGGACTCCCAGATTTCCCTCTTGTCACTGAGCCGAGCACGGCCGACGTCCACCGCATGCCCCCGCAAAGCCTTAGTCAGGGCTCTTGGTGAGGAGCCCATAATCTGCTAATTAGCATATCGTGAAGTTACCACGAAAATTAGCAGGATGCAAACACTGTGCTTTCTTTGTGTATGCTAAGTCACACCAAGTTTCTCAGTTAGTGAAGCGCAGGAGTTGACGGTTTGGGGTCTCGGGTGCGCTGCGTGCGCATCTGCTGCCTTGATTGTATGCATTTCTGCTCTGGCTGGGCGCATACATAGGTTCCGGGAAGACATTTTGGAGGCAGCCGCCGCTTCAACAACTCCCAGCTCTTTTCTTTTCTTTTATAGTTCATCCCTAACAAGTCTCAGCCGAACGCCTTCCTCCCAAAGCCGAAGAGCAATTGCCTGACTTAACATGGCCCGAGATCCGAAGCGCATTCCCGAAATCCCTCCCAGGCGCTCGGCAGGTAGAGCTTCAAATGCCGTAGCACTGCATGGAAGCTTTTCAAGTCAAGGCTGCCCTGGCACCGGAAGTCGCATGCTCCCAAGGCCGAGGAAGTGGCAGCTTTTAAAGTCGGGAAGTAGGGTTCAAGGACTCGGGATTCGCGGTTGAGGTCTAGAGTCTAGGGTAAAGGGTTCCGGGTCTCGGGCTCTTTTGTCGCCTTCGGGCTTGCTTTAGAGGCTGCGCTCGTGGCTCACTTTTGATGTGGAGGGATGCGTTGGTGGGCATGCTGTTACTAGCCATTCCGATACCGTTCTTTATGGCGGTTGTCTCTGACGGGATTTTTGGTTGTCGAGCTGTTGTGTCTGCTGCCGGTGATGTCGTTGCTGTCGCTGGTGCTGTTGCTGCTGCCGCTGTTGTTGTTTTCGTCTGTCCGTCCGTTCAGGCAAAAAAGGGCATCACGACTGATCTCAGTATGTCTGGGCTGATACTGTCCTCGAACTCCAAAGCAACCAACGCCGAATCCTTTGAACCATCCCGTGACGAAACTCTATGCTCCAAAAAGTTGAAGGGTCTCAAGCAGCCAGGCTGGCATTGTTATTGATGGCGTCCCAGAGCTGGTGGAATTCAAGCGAATTCTCGAGCTCTTGGAAGCCTTGCTGCTCCAAAGCCTCCAGACTCCAGACTTCGGGGGTCTAAGGGCGTCACAGTGACAGCGGAGCACTCCTGACAAATGCCATGATATTATGATCTTTCTGCAAGCCTCCATCTTCGTCATGATTATTCTCATGATGACAATGGGGCAGGATGAGGATGATGGTGATGAGGCGAGGAGGAAGCAGAAGCTGACTGCTTGCAGGCCTGCACTGCCACCTCACGACCTCACTCAACCTAGGACAACACAAATGATCCTCATGCTTTGGGGGGGCCATGAATCCAGCTGAGGCCAACCTCAGAATCAAGCCTTCAGCCGCGATCTTAACACCCAAAAGCCTACAGCCTGAAACCCTCAGAACCCCCGAAGTTCACAGCCCAGGTCTCAAACATATCCCAGCCGCCATGGCCCAGAATGCCTTATCCCAACCTTCTAACAAGAGGTCAGAGCGATAAGCGTTGGTGGCCGGTTCAGGGTCTATTTGGCTTTGGGGTTAGGGTTTAGGGCATAGTCTTAGGGTTTGTACATATAGCAAACATGCATTCCCTGCTGCATGCAGCCGCGCCAATCATGAACAACACAAGGAGCACAGAGCCTTGCGCAGCTGAACCTTGTCCATGACCATAAGCATGTGATCGGACGAGGTCCTGATACACGCGAGGAAATCCGAAACCCTAAACCTTGCAACTCGGTCCGTCCAAACGGATGAAGGACAAAATGAGGTTGCTATTGGGCTTCGTATGCCTGTGTAGTTTTATGACACGTTTATGGCATATGTTGTCGATGTTCCCTACTTCGACTTTCCATACTAAACTACATACGTACCCAATTCCTGCGCGTAAAAAGCGCGAAAGGTAATTCACGATCTTGTTCGTCATCCCTGAGAGTATGAGTTCCCGGTAGGACTCTGAAAACCTCAGGACCCTGTTGAAACATTAAGTACCCCAACATCCCCATGATCCAAACAAAACCTCTAAGCCCAAAAAGCCCAAAAGATCCTCAAAACCCCGCTTCCGAGCCGGGCCCCCGGACGTGGAAATGCTGCGCCCGAGCGCCCGGGGGGGCCTCGTCCGACGGCTTACAAGCAGTTCTTGCGTGTCGAAGCGGCCCTAGTTTGGGATTAGGGGTGGGGGGTTCAGGGTTTTAGGCGGGGGGGGGCTCACAGACTGGCTGAGGCAATGACAAGACCACCCAACAGTTCATAAACAAGTTTGCCAAGTTGCAACAGGTTCCAGATGTTATCGGGAAGCAAGCACAAGTTCTGGATCAAAGCTGTACCCTGGGTGCATCCTGTCAATCCATGGTCTACAAATTAACATTGAGACCCTACTCCTGTGCTCCAGCCAGCATGGGCCAGCAGACCTCCTAGTCATAGTCCTAGCAGGGACTTAACACAAGAATCTATCACTAACAAGTAAACAGCAAAACATTCTCACCACTTTTTCCCAACTACAGATTGCCCAAGTTGCAATCATCTTGAGTAAATAGGAACTGTATGCGACTAACAACCCTTAACCGTAAGCTTTCACAACTTTGACATTGACGCCCATGTGGGGTGTGGAGACTGAGGGTCAGCATTCAAGAGAACAAACGCTGGGCTTCAAAGTTCGAACGCGCAGACCTGAGGGTTAGCGAACAACTATGTAGAGGATCTATAGTCCGCCTCCTGAACCCTGTGGCCAGGCACGAGAACCTTCAAACCCAAGACACTTCTCAGGCTTGGAGGCTGAGGGCAATGAGTAACCGGGATAGAAGTAGGCTCATACGTGGAGAACCCCAAACTCGAGGCTTGCAACCCGAAATGAAGGTGCTTACAGAGTCCCATGACCCTGCCAGAGCCAGAGCCAGGTGACTGATTGATGTCGGTGCTCTCCATAAAGTCATCGACGGTGCCAATCCGCCTCAGTTACGAGCTTAGCTCTGAAGCGGCGAATCAATCGCTGCGTTGACGCTTGCCTAGGAATCCAGATCTGATGAATTTAGGGAATGCAGGGCTAGGGTGTGAGGGTTTAGGGGTTTACGGCATTAGCTAGCCAGGATGAACTGCAAAACAGAACAGGTGACGGCAGATGTGTGCAGGCATGAAGTCTCTATGATACGCCGATACGAAGCAAATACCATAGATCGCCAGAGACTGTAGTCTGATGGATCAATCAAACCAGCCGTGCCCTGACCGCCACTGTATTAGGCTGGTTGACCTGCTGACGAAATATTCAGAGAGCACACCCATTGTTCTCCTTCGCATCCAGGCTACTGCGCCTTCGGAAAATGACCGCAGCACGGCTTTGGTGCAGGTCGAGACAAATCTGGAAAGAAGGGGTGCCCGCTGCCCTCCAACAACCCCGAAAGCTAGAACGCAATATTCGGCTCGAACCTCAAAACCTCTTAATAAAAGCTAGGACATCAAAAATTCCGAATTGCAAACCCTAAAACCCAAAATCCCAATTAAGGGTGGCTCTGAGCTCCCCTCGTTTGTACACAGTGGAAGCGGCCCCGTCTCAGGCTCTGAGCCGAAGCCTTCCACGGCGGTTTCTAAGGTACCACCATGCTACCATCCGGGATGTGCGAACGGCAAAAAACGAATCGGCGAATACTGACGATGTGTGAAACAGCTCGATGCAGTCGACATCACCATCCCTCAAAGCTCGTGTTTTCTGCGCCACCGCAGATGTTTGGCAGCCTCGGACGAACTCGATTCCAGGCGACTTGCAAGCCCCAAATCCAACAGACCTGAAGCCATCAAGCTCTGAAGGCCATGATGCAAAAGTAGTTCGAGTGACACCACTTCATCATCATCATCAACTACTAAGGTTATTGCTACAACAACAACAACAACAACAACAACAACAACAACAACAACAACAACAACAACAACAACAACAACAACAACAACAACAACAACAACAACAACAACAACAACAACAACAACAACAACAACAACAACAACAACAACAACAACAACAACAACAACAACAACAACAACAACAACAACAACAACAAACAACAACAACAACAACAACAACAACAACAACAACAACAACAACAACAACAACAACAACAACAACAACAACAACAACAACAACAACAACAACAACAACAACAACAACAACAACAACAACAACAAAATATCATGAAACATACTACTACCACTCGTAGACTGCTACTACTACTACTACTACTCCTCCTCCTCCTGCTGCTGCTGCTACTGCTACTGCTACTACTACTACTACTACTACTACTACTACTACTACTACTACTACTACTACTACTACTACTACTACTACTACTACTACTACTACTACTTCTGCTACTGCCACTGACACTGCCACTTCGACTGCGACTGCTACTGCTGCCGCTACTGCTGCTGCTACTGCTGCCACCACGACAACTACCACTACCACCTACTGCCACTACACCATCGTCGGATGACAAGGGGTTGCTATTGACTAGGGTGTGTTGCTCACTGAAGTGTACAGAGCTTCCGGTACGGCTGCAGATCTGAGCCGTTCTTACTTCGTGACGGCAATGCCGACGCTCACCACGTTCCCCCTGAGTCTCCCTTTTAAGCCACGAACATCATGTTTCCTTTGGCCTAGAGCTCAGTCTGACAATATCATCATAACGGATAGGACGGACAACTGGTTCCCCGTGTTGCTATGCGTATTGCAGCTTGGCTGCAGACTACCGCTCCCTGTCTGGGAACCTCCAAACCCCGGCACCAAACCAGGCAATCCAAAACAAACAGCCTACTTATGAGGAAGACGCGGAAACGGAAAGCGCGGCGTCGACTCCACCAAGCCCAAAGCCAAAACCCTAAGCAACGACCAGCTCTCTCTGGTTCTGCTCCTGAAGCCCAGTGGCTCCAAGGACTGCGCCAGGAAGCGCAGCATGGCCGGGCGGAGAGACGAGCCTGGACTTTTGCTTTGGATCCAATTGTAGGGCTTCAGGCTTGTTAGAGGGCTCAGGGCTTAGGATCTGGCGTTTCGGATTCGGGAGGGCTTAGCTCTCAGGACTTGGGATTTAGGTTTCAGAGGGCTTGGGATTTCAGGTGATCGAGCCCTGACGCTCCAACAGAAACTGGGTATTGTACATACTTCGATCGCGCCAAGGAGCCATGAACAACAAGGGCAAGTAATGACGAGAACCCCCATCTATGTGTGGTCGCATCAGACCCTGATCCCACCCGTACTCTCAAGGCAAGGCTTTTCAATAATTAAGATGAAATGGCCTTAAAAGCACACGGCTCAATCTGTCTATGCCCTATATGTCTGGCAGGACCATATTATTCTTTAGAACTTTCGTGACAGCGCACCATAGACTCTTTGTGGGCTCACGCGTTCCTTAGGGTCCGTAGGGTATGTGTCAGGCACGAGCACCGGGACTTCGGAATGAATAGTGGGGGAATGAGCCGTGCGCATCCCATCGTTGCTACTATTTGTCTGCGTTTACCCCGGCCTCACGCGGTCTGCCGCTCGAGTTCAAAGGAGCAATCCGAAAAATGTCTGAGTACGGATCGCATGCTCCAGAAGTGTAGGTTCATGTAACCGAAGATTGTTGTTGGCAGCACGGCACCTGCAGTTAGCCGGCTTCCGGCAACATCGCAGTGGTATCATAGCAAGGAGGCCCAAAGTTGAGTCATGCGCTATAGGCATCGAAAAGCTGGTGTAAGGCATTACAGGTGTATCTGAACAGAACTGAAAGATGTTTTGGGTCCAAAACCCGCTTGATGTATGTTGCTGAGAGCGAAAACAACAGCTCTACCTGATCATCCCGAGCCAACAAGGAACCTCAAACCTTGAGGGTGGTCAGGAACAGGGCTCCAGGTTTCGAGCCCAAAGTTCGAATCTTGAGGCTCCAATTGCAGCGTTAAAGGCCCCTAAGCAATGAGACATCCCAGAAGTTCACATCGGAAGCGAGCGACGGGTTGATGAATCCCATGGGACGTGCCCGCCATCCGGCACCTCTCGCGATACTGGAGGCTCAGGAAGTCGCGGTTGCACGAAACCAGACCGTAAACTCGATCCCCGATATGTCCTGCACTAGAGCCCAGACCCTGAACCCTGTCAATGTTTCTGGTTTGAAGGCTTCGGGTGGAGTTTGAGGCCTTCGGCTTTCGGCCTGGATAAACAAATTGTGCCTGGGCTCAATCCGAAACCTAAGGACTGAAGCCCGAAGCCCTAGCAGACTGCCCAAAGATAGGCTGCGATGCTTCCGGGAATAAGCACCCCCACCGAGGTGCTATGTATCAGAATTGTGTGATACCCGGTGTTCCAACCTGCTAAAAGGTCTCACGCATGTGCAGCTGTAGGCCTTTGCTGTGACCCTGCAACCTTCCCAGGGCAGAAAGATCTTCGGGTCTAAATTACAAGCCGTTGTAGGGGCATCCTTGACGTGTTCCTTTCGGTAGAACATCCGCCCTCCCCCGGGGCGCCCAAACGAGGCGGTTCTCGGCGGCAGACAAGCCCCGCGCCAGCAGAAACGTATGAGTCATCACCTGCAGAATCGAGATTTCTGCAGGATCTGTGCGAGACTTGGGCAGTTACTTGACCATGGGTACCGGAACGCATGCAGCTACGAATGGATGAAAGAGTGGCTGGATGGGAGGATGGCTGCGTGAATGTATGGATGCAAGCATGCGTGCCTGCATGCATGTGTTGCGTGCGTGTCTGTGTCTCTGTCTCTGTCTCTGCGTGCGAGGTTGTGTATGTCTGTGTGTGTCCCGTCTGTCCGCCTGTCAGTGTGAATGTATGTATGTACGGGTAAACACCGGAGTCATAACAAAAACGGTGGGCGAACCTTCCCGCAACTAACCGCGCGTTACGACTCATTTTCGGAAGTCATAACAAAACTGCTTCCCACCATGTAACCGCGGGATATTTGAGCAGTCTGCAAAATCGCCTCTGCATGTTCAGTGGTGAAGCGCGGTCATAACAGTTGCTCTTTCCCCCATGTAACCGCGCCTAACACACAACATGCTTTGATGGATGGAGGGATGGCGGGATGGAGGGAGGGAAAAAGGGAGGGAGGGAGGGATGAACATCTATATGTGTGTTTGTAACTGTATGCATGCAAGCATGCACTCCTGTCACCGTGTGTGTGTGTATATGTATATATATATATATATGTATACATGATTATACACACGTATGTATGTGCACAGACTTGAACTGCCCAGGCGCAGCCAGGAAGGGAAACACCACGGGATCCTTGCTGCCGAAGACGTTGAACCAGGGCGTGACTTCCTGCTAATTACAGAGTCTTGTGGTTTGGATGCAGGGTTTACAGCAGGGTGTAGTTTCTTAGGATTTAGGGTTGAATCGGGGGAGTTGGGGTGTCGAGTGTAGACTGCCAGGTCTTGGCTGTACTCAGGGCTTGGGGTGTAGCTGTCTGTAAGGGAGACGTGGGCAAAGCCGCCATGGCGTCGCGCCCTACGAGCACATAGGCATCAATCAAGGCTTTTTGGGATTGTAGGGCTTAGGGCCACGAAGGTCTTTACGGCTTCCGCGACCAAAACTGCAAGTCCCTGCTACGCACCGAAAGGACCACATCAACAAGAGCATTTCAATTCTGGCTTGTCAGGGCTCTTTCAACAGGAATTCCAGAAAACCTTGACCTAGCCCGTGACACTCTGATCACTTCCTCGGCGTCATTCCCAGGCATGCCAACCAGAAACGGCCAGAGCGTGCCCGAGAGCCCCAGGGCTGCCGCGACCTGCTGGGATTTAGGGTTGGGTGGCTTGGGGGTTTTGATTTGAATTTTAAGGTTTCAGCTGACGTCGTAAGGTCTGGACTGGCGGGTTTGGGGTTTGGGGTTCAGGGTTTTAAGATTCAGGGTCTAAGTTACAGGGTATGTAGCTTAGAGTTCGGGGAGACGGAGCTTCAGAGCCTGGACGCAGATTTCGGGGTTAAGGCTAAATGTCGATGTGCAGGACGGAGGTCATCACTCCAGCCCCCACCGTCCACCCCAGAAAACCACACGAAGTCTGAAGCGAAGTCCGAAGCGAGGTCTGAAGCCCTCGCCGGAACATTCGTGGATCTCACTAGAGGGATAGTGATGATGCTGAAGTCTCCGCGCTTCACGTCAAAAACAAATCGACTCCGTAGCCACAGAAACGCATGGATAGCCACTGGCTGCTGTACGCAAGCAGTGCGAAAGCTTTTGGATCACCAGGGCTTCACGGGGAAACACAAGTGCAGAGCAAACAATCAGATGATCCCGACCTGGGACGACACACCGGGAGTGCCGCTGGAACCCTCGGTGGAGACGGAGTTCATGCTGGCAGCCACAATGGCACCAGCTGATTCCTTGCTTGCTTACTGGCGGTGAAGCCTACGGAATCCCTTAATGCAGGGGTTTAGAGGAGTCAGCATCCTCTCGTGGTAATCCCATGTTCTGCTTCGTATCATGTACAATATCCACCAAAGTCAAGCCCGGGTTGTTGAGGTCCCTCTATTCGTCCAAAAAGAAGTCTCCTAGCTCCGACAAACCGGCTCACATCGAGACTAAGATGGCTCATTTCAAGGAACTGGGTTTAGGGCTTCGGCTTTGAAATTTCATGCCGTTATACTCTGTGCGCATGCGGCTGCCCACTGCATTTACTCTTGTAACCAGTGACCCCGAAGCCTCGGAATCAAGATCGACGGCTCAAGAATCGGGCACCCGCTTGCATAAATTGGTGCAACCCCTGTCTGTGCATGAATCATACTATAGCTTATCAATTGAAGCTGCTACCTTTAATAACTATGAATGCTTCAGAAAATCAGGAACCCTAGCATCGCCCCTGCATAAGTGGTAGATGAGGACACCCAGAAAGGTACCCCCAGTTTCTGAAACCCCCTAAAAAGAGCCCTGTAGCCACACAATTCCAAGGTCCAAGGCTCCCCCCAAACAGCGATGTGGGCAGCGTCGACGCCGAAGCGCTCTGCATTCTTCCGGACGAAACGCACAGCGGCTTTGGCATTGTGCACTGCGTCCCGCACGGCTTGGTTCCTCCGTTTTTTGGGGGTCCCCAAATAAGGTAATTCTCTTGGTTGCACCGTTCGCTCCCAAAAGAGAGGACTCTCAAACAAACAAAACCAGAGAACTGAACCCAGCTCTTGAACAAGCCGTAGTTGGCTCAGCCGTGATCTTGAGAATCACCAACACAGTTAGCGAGTCTAAACTCAAGTCATGAACCCTGAAAAGATCTTAGATCCTCAATACTTAACCGAAAAACGCAACAAAATACAAACAAACACTGCAAAATATCGTAAAATGGTGTCCCGCATCCTAAACCTCACTTCCTCATCCCTACAAAACTCTACACCCAAGAAGATCCGACCGGGAGAAGGTCCGGGTGGCTCGGCAAGGTAGCTGTCGGACTCCTGAGTCGGCTCCGTCAAGAGGCTTAGGGCTCAAGGCACCACAGGTACTTGGGCTTTGGGGCGCAGGGCTTAGGGCTTGAGGATTTTTGGGAGGTCAGGGCTTCATGTTTCAAGGTGAAGCTGTCAGTCTCGGTCGGGTTCTGAGTTTGACTGTGGTTTCGCAGGTACAAAGGGACAGAGGGCCAGTAACACCAGGGAAAAAGGATGAAAGAACCAAACTTACATTGCAATAACAAGAGATACAGTTGTGCAAACATCGTAGGCAGTTCGTTCAAGCCCTTACAACTTTAGAGTATCCATGGCCGCCGAGGTGCCAACTGGTAGTCGATGCTGAAGGCCACGAAGCCCGAACTTGCAAAGAAGTAGGCTTCATCCACGACAGGGCCTGAATCCTTGCTACCAGCCATGAAGTTTCCGCCGTGAATCCTTGGCTGATGCGGGGTCCAGAATTTCCGACTCGGAGCCGGAAGAGGGCTTTGTAGCAGTACAAACTAGGACACTACACTTTCAACCCGAACCCTTGGAATCTCTGCCTGCCAAAGATATCTGCACAACCCTGACTTTTAAGCCCTGGAATAACATCCTCTTGACCTTAAACCCGAGCCCATAAAATCCTGTAACCCCCGAGTAATAATGATCCTCCAGGCTCACGGCTTCCGGAAAAAATCTGCTATCTGCACAACCCTAAACCCTAAAACTGCAAGTACCTCAGACCCAAAACAACACGAATAAAGAAAAACTATGAGAACAATAACACTTAGTGCCTTTGATAGAACAGAACTGAAAATGCCTTCAAGGGAATACCGAGACAATACGATCCCAGGCTCATGATGATTGCCGGAGATGTGCCATTTTCCAGGGGCTTGTCGGCAGCATAGACATCCAAGAGGAGCTCGCTGCCAGCTGCCTTTTGTGCACGGTCGGGGTTCGGGAGTTAGGGTTGACAGAAGTCTAACGGGGCCTTGCAGAAGTTTAGTCCTTGCTACAACACTTGTGGAAGTAGCTGTTTGGAGAAGGGACCTATGCCTGGTGGAATTTGCAACGTCGTGAAGGGCCAGTGCTGCAAGTACAAGTTCAAGCATGACATAGCCCATACCTGCCTGGCCGTAGACAACGTCGTGTGTCAAACGAATTACATCCGCAGAGACGTTCTCCTTGCAGAAGCAAGCCGCGCAAGCCTGAGGAAGGGCTTCAAGCAAACGTTGACCGGAACATACGAGTGCGGGACTGCTAGCACTAGAACTCTCAACCTGGCTTTTTTCAACCCAACTCCGTGCACAAAGGATCCCTCCTCCCGAACAGGCACTAATCGTCCCGATCTGTTCCTACAAGTCAGGTACATCGTTTTCAACTCTTCTTGAACAACTGGGCTCCAGGTAGGTTGATAAACCAACCCATGCTATCAGAAGAGCTTAGTAGACGTGGGGGGCGTCTTGGGTTCAATGTACTGCAACATCACATTGCCTGCTACGATGACTATACGGTTTTGATACCTGTATGACCAGTATGACGACTGTAAACGTTCTGCTCGATGTTGGTTTCCTGCTATGGCTGCCATGGTCCACCAAAACCTGGGACCTTGGCAAGGAACTTAGGCGTCAAGTTACTATATTCAGCATGAACAGTTATCTTAGTAGCCTAGATTCAAAATCCTTCACAAGACCCCTTTAAAATCCTTGGCTAACTCTGATCAGTTCCGCCCAATCCTCCCGGCCTGAAAGGAGGCTACGCTGTGACCCGGTGGGAAGGCGTGAATCATCAGGAAGACCGCAGTGCAACCCACCTTGAGAGTTTCATTAGCAAACTTGAAGGCATTTGATGGCTTTGGGTTTAGGGCTGTTGGGATGCGGGCGTCAGGGCATGAAGATCTACGTTCTCAGATCTACGGTTCATCTTTTAGTCTTCTGCAGTTTGGCTGTTACCCTTTGAAGCAACAGCGCAGCTCACCCAAAGATTCCGGAGATTTTGCCAAGGACGGGGCGGGATTGGGTGTTCAAAGCGGCTTGACATCTTCATAGCGACCAAGTGGCCAGGCAACTGCAGCAGATTGCTCCTGGATTTCGGATTCATGGTTTGGCCTTGGGGGTTTGGGGGTAAGGTCTACACTCCATGCTTTGGGGTCGGGGGAATCGTTTGGCTCTGTATTTGCCAAGGAAATTGACATTAAAGCCACTCAAGGTCACTATACGGGGGGGGATGTTGATAACACTACTCAGAATCACATCCTCAGTAGTTTCAAGCGAATGACTGCCTTGACAAAGAAGGCTCATGTCTGACAAGTCGTATTGCAAACTAGTCCCGGTGCACGGAGCCTTAGCCCAAAGCCGTGAACCTGAAGCCGTCTGCCGAGTGCAGGCAGGTTGCCGGAGATGACATAGAACCACCTGGAACAAAGCAGAAACCGTTTAGGGACCAGGTTTCGTGTTGTCTTTTTGACTCAGTTGCGACTGTACAGTACGGCTGCTGAGAATAATAGCCTAGCCTAGCTGCAACTATAGAGGTTCAACAAAAACAAACAAGGATCGCGGCAATAGCCATCATCCCGAAGGGCCACGAGGAATTCGGGTGCATGACACTCAAGATATCTAAAGGAAACTCGAGACTTACGATACGAGTGCGGTTGTGGTAGCCTTCTTCCTTGAAGGCCCACAAACCCTCCAGGCCTCCAAGCCTTGCGCTTTCGAGGCGAGGCATGCAACCCCTTGGAGCGCAGGCCATTTCTTGTTCTTCGACGAAATCAGGCATTCTCCATAAGAAGGGCCTGATCAGTTTTGTAAGGTCTCGATAGAGGACAAGTTCTTTAGAGCGTTTTTTGACTCATGGGAACCTACTAGCATACTCTCCACTGTTTACGTTAGTTGAGGCTATTCCGGATTTTGCGCGAGCTGTTCTGAGGCTACGAGAACCCTCATGGAACCTCTCAGGAAGCCTTATTCTGATTGAAACCTTGAAAGGAACCATGAAACGCTACATGCCTTTTGACGCACCTGCGTGATCCATTTAACTATGAGGATAGTGATCGCAACAAGGAGCGTTTCGAAGAAGGAGACGGGAGACGGCAATGCGAACCCCATCATCCATGTTTGTGGAGACAAGGTTGCATGGAACACCGATTTGGGTCTACCGGCATGTACAACTGCGTGTTTACAGTGCGTCAATATCTAAATGCCTCGTTTCATTACGGTATGCATCTTGGGTCGTGTGAGTTTGGTGCATCGTGATACTCGTTAAACCAAAAACAGTGCCGTGCAGAAGCATACCAAACAGGATGCACTGCCTGACGCGAACTTGAACTAAACCTCCGGCCAAGATTTTCCACAGTGCGGCCTCCGCATGCTCGATCTCTACGGCAATCCGACCGATCTCTGCCACCTCCTCGTCGCCAGCTCCGATAACCTGCAGGGGCCCAGAAAATCACCAGGCTCAACACAAACGGTCAAGTGTTTAGGATATGCTTCGAGGCTTGCTATAATCCTCCAAGTACGAATATGGTCACCCTGTGACAGGGCATCAGGATACTGGATACTGGATCGAAACACGATCCCATTGTTGTGGTTCACGAGTGTTACATGCAGAGTGCCCCTTCTTTCCAAAATGAACAGCCTACCGCAGCTTACTACCCTTTACCCCTACAGGCATAGTGGTTATCCTGTGCTAACGACTGTTCTATGCCGTCAACGCAACATATCTAACCCTGAACCCAACACTACACTCTAAGACCCGACGCCCCAAATCCCAAACCTCCAGAAAGTCTCAAATCCCAAGCTGCAATGGGCCTGCTGGTCTTCAGCAGACGAATGGAGAATGCTCCGGGCTTCCGCTGTACGTGGAAGGCAACACAGAAGCCTCAATCTGTTGAGCTCTTCAAGTCTGGATTCATGATTATTTGCAAGGCATTTCACGGTCTCAGTAGGGTTAGAGCTTTACAGCGTTTTAATTTTAAGTATGAGGGCTGTTCGATTCAGGGCAAACTGGGCCGTGCCATCTTTCCCAGCCTTGTCATACGTTTCGTAAATCTGGATCGGAGCGGTTGCTACTTAGTTCGCCTGGCCACTGAGGAGCAAGAGAATTTGTAAGCCTCCTAGAATAAACACATGGCCATGAAAGCCCTGAGCCCTGAATCCCAAACCCTGAAACCCCAAGTGATAAACCACCTGCTTCGGAGGGACGGCAAGGCGGTGGCAGCAGAGGAGATGCTAAGCACACAGTTGGTGCAAAGAAAGTACCACACGAACCTCCACCCGGACTCCTCAGTTCGATGAGGGTTTGCCGTTCCTTTGGGTACCTGGGGTGCAGGATGGTTTCGGACAGGGTTGCCTACTCTCTCAACAGAAAGCTGCAGGGCGTCCTCCACCAGCAGAGAAAACGACAGCACTTCAGCTCTATACGATCCAAAGCTACCTGTGGCGCAACTACTACACTTACTACACTATCTGCGCCGCTATTCCTCTGAAGTCTCCTGGGGTAGGCAGGCAGCCATTTCGTGTTTCATGTAGCTGTACATCACAAGAACACCTACATCTCAAGGGTGACTGAAGCCTCCACCTGATGCATTCGGATGGGATGTCATCTGCCAATCAGAACGAACTTCATCGGTTTCACCGAGAGACCCACAAGCTGTCAGATGCATCCGTCCAAGAGACACCATCTCTTGAACCCTAACTAAGCCCTCAACCCCAAACCCGTCCAAGATTCAATGCGGTGATCGGCGTCGGCCAGAAGCGTTGAGGCCGCATAAACTAAGCCTGCTGACATTCCGAGACCTTGGCACGGCAGGTCTTCTCGCTTCTCTAGGCTGGGTAGGGTTTGGCGACTAGGATCTAGAGTCTTTCGGGCAAAAAAGGGTAGAAGCGAGCTGCCGAACCTAGAACCTGACCTGGAACTGCTACTGCTCGTACTAGTATATACCCCTGCAAGTAGCAATACTCCTGCTAGCCACTGTTCCGCGGCGTGCCTTTGAGTCTTGGCTTTGGGGAAAAGTGGGCAGCACAAAAGATTGGCAGTAAGCACAATAAGAAGGCAGGTTCTATTAGTACAACTAATGTTGTCCCCAAAAGCAAAGAAGCAGCATTACAGGCGTTTTGCTTTGCACATGCGTGCTGGAATATTGCTCACAGCAGGGGCACACTGCACCTAGCCGGACCTGGCCGTGCCCCAAGCTGCAGAACCCGATCCCACTTCAACTCCGCCAAGGAACATAGAAAGGCAACGCGTCCTATACACACTTCTCATCACTTTCCGCTTGTTTCCTCGACCCTCAACCGTAGGCCTTACAATACCCAGTAGGGCTTCTGCCTAGCAAAGCTTCGCCAGCAGTCCAGGTGGCATACAGGGCCTCCGAGCGGACGAAACCAAGGGTTTAGGAAATCGGGTTCAGGCATTAGGGTTCAAGCTGCTGAGGAGGTTTGCCTACAAGTCAGGCAGGGGGGTGGGATAGGAAGTTGAGTTTGAGGTTTGGATTACGGTTATTCGTGATACACAACCATGTAGAAATACAGTATGTAACACGAATGTTACGTAAACGTCCCGTCAAGAGGTAAACTGATAGCTAGAGAGTGCTGCGCACAAACAGCAAGTGCTGCGCAGCAAACCTCTCATGATATGAAATTGGGCGGAATCCGCTTAGAACTCAGTGGAGTCCCAGGTGTTGGGCTAGCGGCCTGTGTTTAGGCGTTTTTTGGGCCTGGGGCTCAGCAGGGCAAGCTGAAGACATGCACGTCGATCCAAGCGATTGGATTTTTTGCGTCTTCTGCGGCTGACAGCTCCAAACAGTTCAGCACCTTAGCTGCGTGTTCTGGCATCATCCTCCTCGGACCCCCTTCTGTACAAAGGGTGAGGCGGCGGTCTCTGCCAGTGGAAGTGAGGCGAGTACGTCGCCCTGAGAACGTGAAGCAGCCCCAGTAGCCAGTTGGCTGGGTGTTCACAGGTCCTCCACTTGCAATAGAATCCGAAATGGTAGCCCTAAACCTACGAAGACAAACCTTGCAGGGTCTAAGCCGAGGCCAATCTAATGCGCCCATGGTTAGATTCTTTACATTGACAAAGCAGTCCAAAAACAAGCAGGAAAGGCTAAGCTAAAGAGGGTGGTGACACTGCTGCCATGCTCTCATGCAAACCAACCTGGTGCGACTGTCTATCCTTCCTGTTTTGCCTGGACTAGGGCAAAGTTAAGCCTCACGAAAAACGGGCCCCAACCGTACGCGCACTGAGCAAAAGCCCCCCATTAACATGGGTTTAAGGAACCTCCAAACAAAGTTAAAGCTTAGCAGTGTAGTCTCAGACTCTAGAACCTTGAACACTAAACTCAACTGACAAGGCCAGACTTCGCTACTCCAACCAAATTCCGAAAGCCTGAGTCCTGGAGCATCTCCTGGTTGCTCTCGGGCAGTCGATGCTTCACCCGGCGAAGTTTCTCCTGCCAGCCCATCAGTTTGATCAGCTGGAGGAAGGTCCTCAGCTCTTTTCTGGTGGAGACGTTTGACGTTTTCTCGCTGAAGCTTGAAGGATGTTTTAGTCTGTTTGTGGGGTCTGGTTGGGGTTTTTTTTGGAGTTTAGCTGCTTCGAAACGAAGTCTGACTGATCTTAGAGGCTTCGCTTCAAAAAACAAGAGCCAAGGGTCTCATCACAAGTCCTCTCGCCAGACCACACGTCGCGCATGGCATGTGGACCATAGTCGACGCCCAAGTCCTGCCCAACCTGTTCTGCTTCAGGGGGTGGTGGCGGTGGCGGCGGGTGAGATGATGCTTCTGACTGTTTTGATGATTATGATGGTTGTTCATGATGATGGTGGCGATGATGGTGATGATGGTGATGTTGAAGATGATGCTGGTGTTGACGAGGAGGATGACGATGTATATGGCAGTGACGACGACGATGATGAGCATCGGGATGGCAATGCTGTCGTAGCGACGAGGAAGACGACAGTATCGACAGTGAGCTGAACAAGAGCAGGAGGAGCAGGAAGAGTAAGAAGAATGACGACGAAACATGAAGTTGACGAGTGTGGCGGTAATGGATTCATGGCGATGACGACAATGACGATGATGATGCTGCTGTTCCCATGGCGACGATGCTGGCAATGGCGATAGGCATTGCAGTGCTGACGATAATGACGACTAACAATTGTTCGTGATGCACTGATGAGCAGTACGAAACAGGCCAGCTGCCGTCATGCAAACAAACTCCCATAATGCCTCAGGCTATGCTGCTGCTGTTGAAGGTGATGGTCAGTATGACGAGGCTGAAAGGTTCTGTGATGTCAGCCGATATGACTGAAGGATATTGAGAGCACATCTAGCTGAAACAGTTTGGTGGCATGGCTCGCGGAGAAATCTAAAGCAACGGCCTCAGCGACACATCACACGGAATTGCCAGGCGCCTGCTCCCTGTTGATGATCACCCTCATGCAGCTGCCAGGCACCTTAGTTGCTGGCCCAAATGCAAGCACCGACACCGCTTCTTTGAGACGCTTTGAACACAAAGCATGCCACCGGCCTCGTTTACAACAGAGTTCGCCGGTGAAACCACCAGCGAGGTGCCTGGAAAGGTGTCGGAATTGATTGCTCAATTTGCTTACCTAAAAGGCGACAGCTATCAGTTCATGTGGCCATGGTTACACAACTTCAATCCATGCACCTTGCACCAACTAAATCTCGAAACGTCTCGTGACCCTGAGGCCTGCGACCAGCAGAAGATCCGCTTGGTGCAACTCAGGAACACGGTCGAAGAACCTCAACTTCAGGGTTTCGGATTTAGGGCTCAAGCGTACGGGCATGACGGAAGACCTGGAACACGGGTGAGGCCGAAACCAGGAGCCTCGTTTGAGACTTGCCAGAGTTTAGTATGGACTTAGGACTGGATTAATGAAACGCGACCGTCTACACTGCCCCAGCTCAAGAAGCTGCCATGTGTACATATGTTATGTTTAGTATATGTAAGGTTACGAACACCAACAGCAGCTGCAGGCGTCGTCGACGTCGAAGTAGTCGTACTAGTAGTAGTCGTCGTCATCGAGGTGGTCTTGGTCGTAATCGGGTCGTATTCGCATGTGTTGCTGTCGTCGAGCCGTCATTGCATTTGTGGTGGTCGTCACAGTAGTAGTAGCAGTAGCAGTAGTAGTAGTAGTCGTAGTAGTAGTAGTAGTAGTAGTAGTAGTAGTAGTAGTAGTAGTAGTAGTGGTAGTAGTAGTAGTAGTAGTAGTAGTAGTAGTAGCAGCAGCAGCAGTAGTGGTAGTTGTAGCCGTGGTCGTGTAGTGGCAGGAGTGGTAGTAGTAGTAGTAGTAGTAGTAGTAGTAGTAGTAGTAGTAGTAGTAGTAGTAGTAGTAGTAGTAGTAGTAGTAGTAGTAGTAGTGGCAGCAGCAGTAGGTGGTGGTGCTGCTGGCGGTGGTGGTGCTGGTGGTGGTGACGTCGTCGTAGAAGAAGGAGGAACCATGACTGTGGTCGTCATCTGAGTCAGAACCACGGCCACAGTCTCGGGGAAGATACAAGAGCCAGACTCAGCAGTCAAGACAACATTATGATGTCGACTCTGTCGACATTGACTTGTTGATTACGGTTTTCATGCTGATGCCGGCCGTGGCCTTGATACTGAACCTGGTGTTGGGAGCCACAATGAGATTCATGTTTTTTGCTGATGTTCATGTTTGTACTGCTATGGGCTGCAACTGCGAAGATGCCTCTCGCCATTTCGACCAAAGAACTCTTCCGGAAGGTTGCTTCCGAAGAGGATAGTGTTGGGCTTGACCAAGGGGCGCTGGCAGTGCGGACCTTCCGAGCGAAACGACTTTATGGGTTCGGGGGCTTGGACCTGGACGATAAGTTTTAGAAGGCCAGTTGTAAGGAGTTTAATGCTTGCTCGGGCTTTAGCTCGGCGAAGAGTGAAGCATTGGCTTCCGAGGCGCAGGGAATGCTGACGGATTCTTCCGGAGCTTCTGGATCCGTTTTGTAGATGTCCTGCGACTCGTCTCACAAGACCACAGCAACGGAATCAGAGTTTTGCCAGATACCCAACCCGTGCTTCCAGGCCGCCCTCCGAATACGGAAACCTGGCAACTTCTGTATCCTTCCACTGCCTTCCAACAGCTCGACTATCTGGTCTGCTGCTACGATGTAGGGAGTGCTGATTCTGCTTGGGAGTGGTTCTTCTGCCGATGCTTTCCCGTGTCCTTGATGTTGGTACGGACTTGGGCACAGAAGTCGTCAAATGGCATTTCCTTTCCGCAGCCTTCGCAGGAGACACGCGCGATGCTGCCGTGGACATTCGTCACCCGTGTCGGCGAGATACCAGTCTGCCAGGGCACTGAAAACTTTTGGGATACTTCAGTGCTTCGCCGCGATGCGGGGTTTGTTGAAATTAGGAGTCTGTATCGGGGCTCCTTTTTGTAAAACCTACTGCCTGATGGTCTACTATTTTTAGAAGTCCCTACAGAAACGCTAAGTGTTTGGCAGCGGACGTCCCGCGCTTTCTTGCTGGGCTGAACCGAATCCGGGCAAAACCGTCGATTGCAAAATCAAGCGATCGGGGTTTTCTGAAGTGGTGCATCGAAGAAGGTACCTCTTCCTGGCAGCGGCAAGGCTGAAAGACAGATTCTTAGGGTGTTCAGATCTCCCCAGTCCCTAGCCCAGAATGCATCTTCCAGACCCAAAACCATTCTCAAGACACTCGACCTACGAGAGCGCAGTTCCAGACTATCAATCTGTTTCGCAGCCAGCCTGGTAGTCCAAGCCATCAATGTTCTGAGTAAACAGTCGCTTCAACTTGCCCTCCTCTTCCAGAAACTTCATGAACCAGTGAGAAATGGTTGCCTTCCACTCTTGTCTATGTGTGCCGAGAATAAACGGCCGCCTTACCTCCAGATAAGGAAAGGGATTCTGGAAGAACATGTCCCGTTCAACCACATATGTAGGATCGAATCTCATCTTCTGGCGCTGTATGAAGCTGGCAGTTATGAGCTCGGGCCGGATGGAGTCGTAGAGACCACCAGCCGACCGGAAGTCTGGTATGCCCGCGCCCGTTGAAACGCCGGCACCAGTGAGTACGTACACGGACTTGCCTGGGTCGAAGTGTAAGTCGGAAGCCAACTAGAAACCCAACGAGCCCAAAATGTCTCTAAGCCCTGAGTCTCTTTCAGCGCGCACATGCAGACACACGTACATGTGCACCGGGACTTCACACAAAACTGAGCACTCACTGGCTTATTATGGTGTTTGATTTACCAGTTTAGCACAGAAAGCAGAGGCAGTGACCGTCTCTCCAGCTACCAACGCAATGGGTTAAAATTCTCCTGACGACTTGGCACAAGCCGCTGAAATCTTTTTTAGATGCTGGCCCTAAACTTCACGTTCTTTGACCTTGCCTTTGAACTATTCAACATACTCTCCTTTTTGATTTGCAGGGACCCTGAACTCGAAATCGAAACCGCTTCAATCAGCGGAGCTGCAATGATCGGACCGCAGGAATGCGGCGACACGGGTGAGGTCCGAGGCACAGAGGCTCTGCAGCTCTGAGACATTCAGTGCCTCTGATTTAGTCAAGTTTTCAAGCCAGCGGATCGTAGCCAGCATAACGTTAGCAAGCATGGCAACATAAGCAGTCCATTTCCAAATGGAAAATGGCATTCCGTGATTGAAAAGTCGCGCCGTCGTTGACATCATCATCAACGCCATCATCATGAGCATGTCGTTGCCATCGTCAACGCCACAAGCACCTTGAAGATCGTGCGGATTGTCATTACTAGACATCATGTCACGAGCATCATGACCATCATCATGTTCGGTGGCGTCGATGCCGTCGCCGTGGTCCTAGTCTTCCGCTTCCCTCCTCTTCCTCGTCCGCTCATCGTCATCGTCGTCCCCCTCCTCGTCCTAATCCTCGTCGTCCTCGTCGTCAGTCGTCAGGTTAGCATCTAGATGCACAACCTGAAGCTTGTGCAGTCCAGGGGATCGTCGAGACTGTTCTACCGCAATCAGCGAGAGCTCAACTTGATACAACTGCCCATCCACATGATACCCTCTCTACGCTCCTCTGGAATCCTAGATGGCCTGCTTTCGGAGGATGGTAGTTCATAACACCGTGCCAGTTTCGGTTTTGCGGTCGGTCGGTGCTTCCTAACATTCGGGCTCGCTTCATTACGTAAGGTCCTTGTGCATAATGGGGGGTCCTCCTTCTTGAGGTCTGCTTTTGCTGAAACTCTTCAGGCAAATGGGATGTTGACTGCGGCCCAGGCCACCTGCCCAGACTGGTAGCCGTCGGTCTCTCCGATTCCCTGGATGGTCGCGATTCTGTATACTTTTGTCAGTGAACTGAATCATCAACACCATAAGTGCCAGCGAAAGTCAGACCCACTCCGAGGGAACCATTTACGAGTAACAAGACTCCTACAAGTAGACTGATTCCCACAGCTGGGAGAAAGCTGTGAAATCTTCTGATCCTACGCTGGCCTTCAGAAGTGGGAGGCAGCACCAGCCATCGGCTTCATCCGTCTCCGAAGCAGAAAAGCCGGCCTCCCCGTCATCGAGCACAAAGGTGCAAGATGCATTCAGGTGCATGTGACCCCCAACTACTCAGCTTGAGCACTGCATTTCCAACCCCAAAGCCAAGCAGGCGGTGGCGGCTAAAGTGAAGTCTGTCGAGGGGATCCGGGGTCTCAAGCCGGATTTGTTTAGCACTGGCTACAACACAACAGCCCAAGTTCCCACTGACAAGCCTCCAAGGTAGGGTGGCCCTCGTAGTCCTTGATGACGTACAGGCACACCTCTTCCTTCTGCTCACCCTGCCAGATCGCCCGCACCTGATGGAAGTCCTTGCTATTAGGGTACGTAAGGAAAGGCTTGTCTTACAGTCGAGTCAAGGAGAATCGAAGCTTCGGCCAGGAAAAGGAGCCGTTGTCGTCCCCTGCTGCACTACAGGGTCTACAGGACCAAGACAGCTACACCGCATTGCCGCAACCCCCCCAAAACGCACAAATCCCCATCAAGACTCCCCTATGACTCCTCGCAGAACCCTCAGCCCCGAAACTCCGAAGCCCTGACATGTCCTTGGAGGCGAAGTTGGAGTTCACCAGGAACCGGAGCGCCTTTGGCTGCGCCAGGTAGGTCTGAAGGACCCTCGGAGTGCCCACGCGCTCCGGCTGCTTCCAAAGCCTCGGGGTGTTTTGAGGGTTTTGGGGGTTCGGAGGGTTTGGGCTTTAGGGACTTTAGGGTTCATGTTTCGGGGTTTTGTGCTTTATTGTGCTTTATCAGGTTTGAGTTTAGGGTGTGGGGTTTGGGGCGCGGTAGAGAAGGTGGGTTTTTGCTCTCTCGGAAAGGACATACTGTACTAGACCCAACCTTCAGTCTTGTTCCGTCTGAAGGATACACCATTCCAAAATAAAATCTGTGTTCAAAGGGCCCGGAAGCCTCAGGATGTTGTATGGCCAGTCCGAGTGCAGCTGGTAGACCAGAGCCATAGTTTGCAGCTGAGAGGGCCAGGGGGCCAAAGGGCTGTTGTGGCTTGGGCCTGGAGCTGCGCAATGGTTCGGACAAGTCCGCAAAGTCGGGAGCAGCCGAGACCTTGAGGAACTCAGAGGCTCCCCCGCAACCCGCAAGGTAAGGCCTCCTTCGAGGTTGAGGTTCAAGGGTTTCGGATTGTCTCTCTGAACAAGTTGCGCCGCTGGCATCACAAGAAGTACTTCGCCGTCCATCAGGCACTGGGCCACCGAAGAGGTGTAACCCTAAAGAGCCTTTGCTTCCACAAGAAACATGTTTGCGCTCTATGATGCAAAGAAAATCAGAGGGAGCCCTGACGCCCTCACCAGGACCACCATGAGGCACCAATTTAGATGCCATCGCCTTCCACATCCGAAAAGTCCTCAATGCCCCAACTGTCATCATCATCACCACCACCACCATCGTCATGTTTATCATCATGACATATTAGCTATTGGCCCTGCTGTTGCTGCGATTGTTGTTACCATGATATTTTGTTCTTGTTGTCGTTGTTGAGTGCCTTGCTGGTCCTGTGGTCTCTTCATTCATCTCTCACCAGCTGCCTTCCCCAACCCGACGTGCAGGAAGTGGCCCAGCACCGCGCCGAGGCCGAGCAGCGCGGTGTAGGCCGCGAGGAGCTGGAGGGTCTTATCAGCTTCTCATACGGGTTCAATATGCTCTTGTGGACGGGGCCTTCATAAGTAAGGGGTCTTGTGGTGGAGCTTTTTGCATTCAACGAAGAAGGGTGTGGAGCTTACGACGGCTGAGACGCCATGAAAGGTCTCTTTCCCAAGATAGCGGGATGCCAAGACACTCGGATGCGCAAAACCTCACACGTCGGCTGGCAGAGTCCAAGAAGACCCCGGCACCGATAAGAGTTGGAAGTCACAAGCAAATGCGCTCCGTACGGTCTGTGGCAAACAGAATGCAGCTAGTTTTAACGATCTGACTGCCTGCGAAAACAATTTTCGAGACCACCTCATTCCAAACCTTGTCACCCACTAGCCATGCCTAAGGGACAAAACTGCAAGCCCCCGACCCCAATACCTCAACCCAAAACTTGCCAAAAACCAGAACCAATCCAAATGCCAGGTCTGAAATCCAAAATCTCCAACATAACCCTATAAACCCTAAGCCCGAAATCCACAGGCCTCGAGGCCCAACAGCGGTGCACAGGCTAAGAGTAGACCGCTCAAAAGGAGTGCGAGACCCAGGAGCACTGCCGCCTCGCGCCAGGGATGAGACGGGCTCAGAGCTCCAGGATTTTCGTATTTTCAAGCAGTGAGTTCTCAGGCTCTGCTGTTTTGCAAGGCTCTCAACAACGGATTTATAGGGTGTTGCTCTAAAGGCGTTATGAGGGGTTCAGGACGTTGGTGACCTTCTCCAAATAGCCAACAACCTTCAACAAGAAAGGAAAGAAGCCCGGATCTATCGGTAGCCCCTGCTTCCCTAAACCCCAAACCTAAAAGATCCCTTAACTGGATCCCTTAAAGGAACCCCTAAAGGCGCCTCCACGGCCCTGGCACGGCTTCGGGAGCAATCGGCTGCCAGAACGGCCGCGCTCCAGGTGCCGAAATGGCCGCAAAGCTGGCCTGTTTGAGTTTCGGGGCGTCTGGGTCTTGTTTATAATGGCCCTTTCTCCGCATGATTTGGCGTCTGGGGTTTAGGGCTTGGGGTTTAGGATCTCACGATTTCGGTGCTGGAATTTCGGGGCTTAGGGCTTGATTCTTTCGGGTTAAGGAGTTAAGGAATTGGGCTTTATGGCTTTTAGGCTGTAGCATTTAGGACTGTAGGGGTTCCAGATTACTGAGACTTGCAGAACCTGTCTTGTTAGTGTTCAAGTCTTCTACGAATACAGCTTCAGTCAGACTGATATGTATATAAATATGGATCCAAGGCATGCCAATAAAGGCCAAAGGCCAAAACAAAAACAAGCAGAACGACACCAGACATAAATATCAAGGGGTGCGAAGCTAGCGATTGCGATTGTTTAACCTTCGCATGTATTTGTCTGCTACCGAAACCCCTTGGGGGCAGGTGGGTCCATATCACTGTCACTAGCATCTAGCAAGCTTCCACGATGACACAAGACATGTGAAAAAGCTACATTCGCATATCTTCCATCTTCTCTCCCCACTCAATTGTCGACGCTTGTGATATCTTCTGACCCCTCCATTCGTCACGCACGCCCCGCAAACAGTGCGATTTGAGACTTGGGGGGGTAAAGACTTTAAGGACAAAAGGTTGTGGATCAATATCGGCCACCTCCACGGTATAAGCACGCAGAAATTGAGGCTTTTGGGCCTTAAAAACTACAATAACCAGTTACGGCCTTTTGGGTTATTAAGATCCTTTAGGCTCTCGTCTGGTTTCATCCCAGCGTCATGCCACAAGCAGGGACCCGCTGTAGGCCAGCGCCAGCAGAGGAAACGCGCACCAGCGCGTGGAGAGCAGCGAGTGGTAGAAGCGCCAAGGGATCGGCCTGAGGCCGCGGGCAGTGTTTGTTCGGTTCTTCCTTTTTCGGTGCGAGATTGCGCTTTGGGGTGTTAGTCTTAGTGTTCGGGATTCAGAACTTAAGGCTTTGGTTCTAAAGGCTCCTGGTTCCAAAAGAGCCAGTACTCCTTGTAGGTTCAAGGAAGATTCCTTAATGAAGGGCGTTTCGGATACAGCATTGGGCTGATGGGTTTGGGGCAGAGGGTCAGAGATCAACCCGAGATCGGGTTCTCACTCCTAGAGTCTTGCAAGCTTTGATCGGGGCAACTCTCGGGCAGAGCGATACAGGGGGAGGGAAGTGAGACGTTCTCATATGCACAAGCTGTGAACCGCCACCATTCCCCCGGCTTGTGAGCCCAAGCTGGAGCCCCAATGTTAGATTGACAATCAATGGAGCGAAGGAACGAACCAACCGACCGACCGACAAACAGACAGACAGCCGGTCAGCCAGCAAGCCAGGCAGGCAAACAGGTAGACAGGTAGCAGGCACAGAGGCTGACTGGCCGTGACACGTGGAAAAGCGGACAACAAGATAGACTTGTGCATGCATACATATGTAAATACATCAACTTCGGAACTTCACGGCTAGTGGGGAGCCTCCGCTTCAGCAGGGAGGACAGCATCAGCCAGCCATGGCCGAGGAAACCACGCTGCTGATTGCCGACGCTTCACAGGCACGTGCAAAAGAAACTGAGGTAGCTTGTCGGCAAGACGACGACGAATTTCGACGACTTCATGATGCCGGATAAGTGTTATATTGGGTCTGCACCACAAGCAATTCATGATTTTGCATCTGGTGCCAGGAAATGCTTCAAAGGCGGCTTGGCGCTGTAGTCTGAAAAAAATTGTCGACTTGGCCTGAAATTCAAGCTACTGTCGACTCTCTGTGCAACACCTCTGTGTCATGAACTTGCTTTTCACATCAGGGCGGCTGCACCGGTGGCACAGCTGAACCAAAAGTGCTCGCAAGACGCACGGCAACGGCGGGCACCCATTGCATCCCAAGACCCCGAATCAGTTCATCAAGCTGCAAACCTCTGGGCTTCCTCAAATCCATGGTCCTGAGACTCCAAGAACCACGGGTCATCCAGCTCTCAAACCAGGCCTTTGGGCTGTAAACAATGAGGAGACTATACAGAATGCAGGCAGCCAGAACGACATCTGGGAGAGATGAGGGCACGGCTGAACATCCTTGCTAAACGTCGCGTCCTGGGGGTTTGACTTTGAATTTCCTGTAGGTTAGGAGTCTAGTGCTCCCGGTGTTTCGAGCCACACTGTCTTCGGGCTTCTCCGCCGAGCAGCGGGTTCTTAAAGGGACAGACTCCAGCTGGAATTCGCATAGCTACAAAGATTTAAAAGTTACAACGACCAGATTGTCCGTCAACAGCAGGGTGAGGGGTCGCATTTCGGGTGCTTCGAGGCACGGCTTCGTCCTTCAATTCTCCAGGCGAAGCCTGAACAGAAGAGCCTTGAGCCGTTAACTAGAAACCGGCCTGCTGTGCGAGCTCCTCTGTCACGATTGCGTCGAAGACGCGCGTGGCCTCAGGTTTCAGGGAATACTTCCTGAAGGTGGAGGGAGCGAACACCAAATTGAACCCAGATCCCAGCCCCAAACCAAGCCCCACACCCTAAAACCTGAACTAGCCTCCCCGAACCAAACCCCAAACCCGATACGTGGGATCCGGCTTGGGCGTCTGGGATTAGCTGATTCACAAAAGCGTGTTCATGAATAAGCCGAATTTTAGCTTCACGAAATAGCGTCAAAGATACTCCAATTGGTGGCCAACTTCGCTACCCGAACATGCTAAGTGTATATTCTATTTGCATATAACCCATCTCTGTAAGTATGTCTGTATATATATATATACACATAGACATGGTGCATATACTTATGTATGTATGCATGTATGTATGTATGTATGTGTGCATGTGTGAATGTGTGTGTGTGTGTGCATGTGTGCACATGTGCATGCATGCATGTATGCATGTAGGTATGTACGTATGTATGTATGTATGTATGTACCTATGCATGTATGCATGCATGCGTGCACACGTACATGTAAACGTATATATATATATATATATATACACATATGCTCACCCCCCCCCCCGTTGACAGACCATGCCCTTGTGATAGTGTACTCTCGTTCGGTGACTAGGCTGAGATATTGCATCTAAACACACCACACATGACGACAATCTGTAAAGCAAATCCTTTACAGCACATATACCAAGTACACTTTTAACATGCCATGTACTGAGGACGCATGGACCAGATGCGCGACACGTGAGTTATGAGTTTTGTGGTAGCATTGATATAGGGTGAGTATGAGTATTAATATTGGTATCAGTATTAGTATCAGCAATAGTATTAGTGTTTACTGTAAGTATGTATGTATATATATATATATATATTTGTATATATCGACAGTAGTAAGTATACATTAATGTTAGTGCTCATCTTCGTTTTAGTCTTAGTGTTAGTGCCAGTGTCAATGCCAGTAATAGTACCACTGCTAGTATTAGTATCAGTCTTCATGCTGGGTTTAATATCAGTTAATAATGGCAGAGGTGCTAGTATTGGTATCAAAATTAGGGTTAGTTTCGATATGTTACTATTCTGATAGTTTCGTATATCAGCAGGTTAGTATATCAACACATTGATGTGTTCGAGAGGCAACATATTTGTATACTTGCATATTCGTGGATTTAAAACTTTGGTACAACTGATGCATGAGTAAACTAGTATATTGCTGTATTAATATATTAGTATATGAATATACCATTATATTCGTACATTAGTGTATTAGTATACTAGTATATGCAATATACGTGTATTGTCTAAAGATTTATAAGTGTATCAGTATGTTGTCATATTAGTATACGAACCTGCCACGTCGGTATACTTGCATATTGCAGTAGTCGCATACTAGTATAGTAGCATACTAGTATAATAACATACTAGTATAGTATATTCACACATTAACAAGTAGTGTATTGTTACATTGGTATATGGGTATATGCTTGTCCTAAAACATCAGTACATGAATGCATTGATACATATCGGCATTTTAAGTTAATGGTATGTGTTCTGGTGTGCATTAGCATATGCACGTGTCTTTTGTAATGGTATTAGTCTTCACATCAATATGAATATGACTATTGGTATTCGTAGGAGTATTAATGTTAATATTCGTATTAGGATTATCCATAGTCGCATTAGCCTTAGTATAAGTGTTAATAATGGTATTAATACTGGCATTATCTTGAATATTCAGCAAGTTATCAATGTCAGTATTACTATTGGTGACAGCATTACTGTTAAGAGCATAAGAGTATACGCAGTAGTATCCGTAGGAGTATCAATACTTATGTAAATCTTGGTGTTGGTATAAACAGTGTGATTGGTATTAGTAATAGTGCTAGTGCGAGTGCTAATATTAAAATGAGGTTATGTATTCGCATGAACGTTTGTCTTATATTAGTATTACTCCTGATTACATGAAAGTACTAACAGATAAATACATGCATGAGCTAATGTATTTGTACTTTAATATAGTGGTATGTATATTTATGTACATTGGTATATGTATGCAGGTGTGTATTAGTATTGGAATTAAAATACACTACTACCAATATGGGCATAATTATTGATATGCGTAGGAGTATGAACGTCAGTATTAATCATTATTACTATTTGTTATTTGTATGGTGCCTATTCGCATTGGCTTAAAAAAGTGTAAATATTAGTGTTAATGCTGGTATTAGCTTGGGCAGTCAGCAAATGATCAATGTCAGAATGAGTATTGTTAATAGTATTCGTAGGAGTACCAATTTAGAAAAATAGATAAACACTGACAATCGTCTAAACAGACCTTGCCTTTGCAAGTGAGTCGTAGTGCATGGTCTGTCATCCGATGGGTCACAATCAGCCCATTGAAAATCAATTCCAGAAGTTCCAAAATTTCCAAAATCTCCGAAATCTCCGAAATTTCCGAAATTTCCAAAATTTCCAAAATTTCCAAAATTTCCAAAAATTCCAAAAATTCCAAAAATTCCAAAAATTCCAAAATTTCCAAAATCTCCGAAATCTCCGAAATTTCCGAAATTTCCAAAATTTCCAAAAAATTCCAAAAATTCCAAAAATTCCAAAATTTCCGAAATTTCCAAAATTTCCAAAATTTCCAAAATTTCCAAAACGGCCCGACCTAGCCGACAGGATTTTTCCAAAACATAAGGGCGGACTTTTTGGAAATTTTGGAAATTTTTGAAATTATTGAAATTATTGAAATTTCGAAAATTTTGGAAATTTTTGGAAATTTTGGAATTTTTGGAAATTTTGAAATTTTGGAAATCCGGAAAGTTAGGGGAGAGAATTTTGGAAATTTTGGAATTGAATTTTTGAAAGCTGAGTGCCACCTCCCCCCGATCACAGACCATGCGCTACGACTGAGTTGAAAGGGCATGGTCTGTCAACGGGTCTCAGTCTTTTGGTGGTTCCACAGATACGTTCGGAGGGCTCAAACTCGATACCCCGGAAAAAGCACGAACACGCCGGTGGGAGCGAAGGGGATGGTCTGTCATGGGGGGGGGGGGGGGGGGGGGTGACCATATATATATATATATATATAAATATGTGTGTGTGTGTGTATGTATGTATATGTATGTACGTACGTATGTATGTACGGACGGATGCATGCATGGATGGCCAGGCTTCCGTCTGTCTGCCTGTCAGTCAGTCTGTTTTTCTGTCTGTCTGCCTGTATGTTTGTATGTACGATAGAGATACATACATGTACATTTATGTGCACTATCATGCTATGTGTGTGTAGCGTATTACCCATATTTCTATGCCCACACTTGACTACGTATAATCTGCATATATGTGTATGTATATATTTATTTATAGTTAATTGCAGGGCAATCTCTGATTCCAAGACACAGTGATGATAACGCTTCTTTTGTGTCTTGAGCCAAATATCGGTGATAACGTCTTCGAGTGAAACTGCTTCAAGATGATCTACATAAGAAGGGCCTGGGGGCTCGTGATTTCTCAACTCCCCCCTTGTAGACAGCGTGAAACAGTTACTTACAGGAAACTAGTTCTACTGCGCGGCACTCGGAAACCTAACTCGTCTAACAACTGCGCTTTAGGCGGTTTCAGTTCAGCTGGTGCTCGAGGCGTAAACGCGACTAGCACGACACGGGACTGAAGTGGCCCTTCCCATGGCACAGTGCAGTGTCTAACAGACGGCTGGAAGAGTGCAGGCAGTTCTTCAATGCGACCTGGGCTATTGCAATCACGCTGTGGGCATTGCTGCTCACCAAGTGGATCCTGGACCCATATCTGACCACCCTTTACCTTGGTTAGCGGGTAGACAAAGTTGTACGATCCTGGATCGTTGTACTTGTCAGTGTGCAAGTCAAACTGACAACCTTGGTAAATCGCTACAGCAGTGAAGGTTAGGTTCTTGGCCTGTTGCCGAACGAACCTTGTGAGGACACGCGTAACCCCCCTGAACTTGGACGTATTGCTCCTTAACCCTACTATGCCACCTCCATGTGCATACGCTCCGGTTGTAAATCCCTTACCCTCGGAAGAGACAACTGGGCGAGACGAAGA